TGTGGTGCTGCGTCAGTCGAGAAGTATAATAAGATAATTTGGTTCCATCAACTGAGTTGATAATGGTCACCGTAACGAGTTTCAAATATTCATAATCTTGCCTTAGGGCTACTCCCTTATAAACAGTTAGATTGCACGTTGCCGTGCGTCTGTTCAGGAAGAGATATTTGATGATGTCACCCTGTTTTCATCAGTGACACTTGGCAGCGCCTCGTGTGCCACTCTTTCGTTCTTACCATGCATATTTTGACGGCGTCTGAGAAAAGAAGCCATATATCTATCACCAATCCATGTTTATTCTGGCTTATTCCAAGCGTTCTAGCCACTCAAACAGAGCGAAATAGCCAGGGCACGATAGTAGCGGCGTAGCGAAAAAAGAGATTGTGGCTTGGGTCTGGTAGGGGAAAGAAGACGTTGATTACCCAACATGACCCACACCTCCCTGGTTTTTTTCACTCTCCAGCTGCTCTCGCGCTGTTGAATATGGTCCTGTGTTTTAGCAATTGAACGCCCGGAACAGCCTATGCTTATTCTCCCACACTCACATGCTCCTTCTCATTGCTTACAGTTTGTCCCAAGGAAGCAATTCCTCTCTCAGGCAGCGGCAAAATAAGCAGCACAAACTACCCAAAGAGTAACTACACTGCGTCCATAAATTGTACCTGGAACATTACCGCGCCAGCTGACAAAATTGTAAATTTTACGTTTACTGAATTTGTGTTAAGTGAGTGTTCAGGAAATGGTTGTTCAGATTCTTGTTCTTATGTGGAGCTTTATGATGGTGGGTCAACAAGTTCGCCTTCGCTGGGGCGATTTTGCCAGGGGTCGTCTTGGAATGAGCCTCAGTTGTCGAATGGAAGTCAAATGTTTGTGATGTTCCACCCTGGACAAACAGTTAATCGTGGATTTGAAGCGAAGTATGAATCCACAACGACCGGTGGTGAGTACCCTGTGACGTTTATTCTGTATATCCTCTTTTATAATCATCAAACATTTTTCTTGGGCGAAATTGCTCTTGACACGTTACGCAACCGACTATGCCCCAACTTGCATGTGATTCTATACTGCTCTATTTTTTAGAGACAGACTGACTTTCGCCGCTCACCACTATCATCCTGAGCTACTTTCGCCTTCTTTTGAAAGAAAACGTATTTAACATTTCTCTTTCACGAGGGTCTCAATGGGGTTAGCCATAAAACGGCCAAAAGCTCTACACGTTAGGCGTAGAAACTGACAGATTATGAAAGCGTGTCCACTAGATTACCCAGCAGTCGTGCTACATACCATCTCACTGATGATATATAGATTTAGGCAAGCCTAAAAGCGGAGCTCTTGTTAATTTATTTTCCAGCCCTTCATTATACTGAATGAATACTGTAATAAAACTATTCAGCACTGGTTGAAGAAGAGTTTCTTCAATGAATTGAAAGACCAGTTCGGGGGGGAGGTGGGGAAAAAATTGACGAAGTCTGGAACCTGGGGACGATATTCTCACAGCTACACGCATGCTAGTCAGCGGTATCTTTAGACAGCTTACGACCTTCGTCGTTGTTCTTGATGTTTTGACCAAATTTTATGAAGATAGGGAATGTTTTCTTCTTCAGAGGAAGCGCATGATGTCAGCATTAATTGAAATTGTATTCTATTGAGCCCGAGTTATAATTTCGGTTTGGGAAAATGAGCCAAAATTGAAAGAAACGACAATATACACGTGCAGTGAGCACAGTGAGTCAGTAAAACGATGCGCCAGAATCATATGGGCTTCTCTTATATCTGCTCTTGAAGTTGCCAGGTAGGAATGCTTACCCCACTGTTTGTCCCCAACGTTTCAACCTCCTCTGTTTAGCGTAGAAAATAAAAAAAAGTAATTTAAACTCGTGTTTGAATCTATGTAATTTTTTAAAACTTTTTTCGCTTTCGGCTATTGTCGTCTAATGATTGTCCTCTGGCTGGAAATACACGATGTCTTTTTGAGATTTTTCCTCTTATTTTTAATTCGATAACCTCTGCTGTAACTACATGTAATGTGGGTGTCTTTACGAAAACTTGAGCTAAACCTGAACTTCATTTTTATAGCACAGAAATCAATTACAAACATCAAACAAGTTTTCTCTTAAGTTTAAAAGTTGAGTTGATGTTTTTATTGGCTATATTAAATAGGTTGAAAAGTTTTAGATAGTATTTTCTCATTTTTGCAAATAATAGAATTTACTTGGAGGTGGATTTGTTGCAACATGTTAACATGAAACGCAATAATACATTTTATTGATATGGGAAAAGTTTTCATCTGACTATCTACTGGCAAGTCTTTTCCACATATCTTGTGGAAAATGGTTGGGTTGAAATATAATACAAACACTATTACAAAATAATTAGTCAGGGAAATGGAAAAATTGTGGCATATACACCGTGTTTGAAATGCCATGTCCATAGTAAGCTAACAGGATCGAGGAGGACTATGTGGAAATAGGCTCTCTTGTCTGTGTCAATAATTTGCTAATCACTCCTGTTGGCAATATTTTGACGAGGTTGGGCTGTCAGGGTAAAGGAACTGAAGATTTTAGTAGGCAGTGACTTTTTTCAAACCTGGAAACTATCATCGTGAAAGCCATACCTGTGCCCAATAATTCATTCTTATTCTGATAAACTAGTTTTAAGAAGGATACAATATTCTATAGCAAAAATTTGATGCATAAGTTGTGCAAAAAACTTTAATTTGACTATGCTTTTATAGCCAATAACAGTCCCTTCTCATGGTAAAATGTTAGGAGGATCAGAGAAAAAATAATATGCCATACATATGCAAGAGTTTATGTAATTATTTGAATTACATAAATATTAACTGATAAAAGGAGATCTAATAATATTTAAAAAATAATGAAATTTGGTTGAAAAATTAGAATTCAGCACAGGCTGGATAAACAAAATTCTTAGGAAAAGAAATGTACACTAATGAGAAAGCTAACCAAACGTTTTTTACAACACCTGCCTTTACCTATACGGCATGTAGTTAAGTCTTTTAAAGTAGTCATAATCCCAGTTGCAGATAGCACATGACTGTACAAGTTATGTGGAAGGTTCCTGCATGGGGGCTAACATTTCTATTACCTCAGCAAACTGTAATCATTAGAGTTGCAAGCCAAGGTGTATTTACCATGTGCTCAAGTTTCCAAATTAGTCAGCTAATTCTTGCAGTGGAGTTCAATCCTTTTTAAGGCTATCTTCAGCTTGATCATCCTGTTACGTGTGAAAACATAAAATGTTACTCACACGTTCAAATAATTACCTGAATCAATAGTTCTAATTTTTTAATAGCCTGCTTCCTTTAATTGTGCTACATGAATAATAATTGAAGAGAAAGAAAGAAAGTTCTTAAAATATTCTATGTTAAATGAAACTTTGTTATGAATGTCAATTGTGATTGCAACAAAAACATCTGTGAAGCTGTAATAACAATTATCTTTCCAGATAAACAAACCATAATGAAGCATGCCATCAATAAATTTAATCTCAGCCAGTTTGAATGTAGAATCCAAAATCTAATTAACTTACTGGTGAATAGGAAAAGGCTCAATGTGTTTTTCCTGCTTTCGTCATTCTAAATATCACAAATCAATCATGCCACCACCTTCATTCAGTGTGATTTTTTTAATGATGTCTACCTTTTCTCATGGACAGCTATTTTTAGTATCCATCTTTTACCAGCTGACATCTGAGAAGAATGAAGTCCACACTATCTAGCAGTTCTTGATTTCTTGTACATTCCCTGTCTACTCGGACAGCACACTTTCCAGGTGTTGTTGTATCACGGCATCGAGTAGGAAAGGAGAAGGAGCAAGACCAAACACCACTTTCGTAAACCTCAGCACTTCCAGCTCTTCAGTCGATTTATCTTTAATCCAATGGAATCTCAGTGCGTCACGTTCAGCTTCTTTGACACGTGTCTGTAGGAAGGCCTTTGCATATCTCTCTCTGGTTCAACCACCGCTGCAAAGATCTTGGTCTCGTTCCGGCCGGACTTCGACTTAAGTCCCCGTTGAACACACAAGAGGCCATCCAGATCGTCAAATCCACTTGCCGACGACTGGTCAAAGCGCGGATTAACGACTGTCACAGAAGACTCAACCACTACAATAACAAATTACAACAACTACTTGACAAACTGAAACAGCAGTTACCGACTATCTTACTCGACACAGTCACAGCTATTGCTGACAGACGAGCCGACAAGCTCGTGACAAACATCAACAAAAACTGACGCGACTTCAACATAACAAAGACAAAAGACGACAAAGAACCGACGACAACTGGGTCAGGAACATCTCTTCCCGTCCCTTAGACAAGACTGAGACTCAAGTACTATCTTACGGACTGAAACACTCAGTGACGCCTAAACGTATACCGACCGAGTCTATTGTATCTAGTGTTGAGGCGGCTTCGACACACGATTTAAAACTGCTCCTGAGTAACAAAATCACCAAATCCTTTTTTGCTTCTTTTGAGACTCGTTTAGCTTCCTTTTGTTATAATTTAACAAACTTTTGTTGTTAAATTATATACATGCATGTCTTTTGTAGTGTTCTGGGCTCAGTTGTATAAAGGTCAGATAACGAAATTCAACGGATAAATCGCTATCCAGTGGATAAGTAATAGCAAAACGTGTCACACTATCCACCGGACAGAGATTTATCCAGTGGATAGCGTTGTCTAACCTTCGAACAACCAGTGCCCGGTAAGTGTCATAGATACATGCATGTGTTGGTACGTTTGTGTTGAGAAATTGTGGACAACAGTCAAGTCACCACTTATCCAGAGTACAATTAAAAATCCAAAGGAAATTCAACGGGTAAACTCTAACTTGTACAGTGCAGGTACAGGTATAAACTAATTCAAAGAGGGTTTAGGTATATGATTCTATGCTAAACTGCCTTTCTTAACCAGGGGACTACTAACTTTGAATCTTTGTAATGTGCCCTATAGTTCCAGCTGCAATTGTGGCCATGGATAATCACACTGTCGTTAAGAATGGAACTATTGAACTTTATTGTAATGTGTCTGGAACGCCACCTCCTACTGTCTTATGGACTCATGTAAAATCAGGCGAAACGTGGAACCAGAAAAAATGGACTATTAGCGATATCCAAGTGGAGGAACTTGGAGAATATAGGTGTAATGCCAGCAACAAATATGGAGGAGATATCAAAAGTACCTTTATCTTATATGAAGGTGGGTGAGTCAAGTTGATATGGGAGATGCTTCGCTTACAGAATGTAAAGAAGTTGTTTGCTGGTATCGCTGGGTTACTAGTAAATACATATTTGCAATGAAATTACTTGGAACCTGATTGGCCCAAATCAGGCATGGGGATTGCCGGTCTCTGAGTCCAACATATTTTCGATGTGATCACAGCTGTAATAACTCAAAAATATTTTATCTATAATGCAGACATTCTGGAGAAATTTACAGGTTCTTCCAAAACTCTGTCAAAATTTTAAAATCAAATTACAACTCTAAACTGCTCCTTAAACTTAAAATAGTTTATTTTTTATCAATTTAGAGTTTTGTTTTGTTTTTTTTTTTATTTTTTCTTCTTGAATAAATTTAGCATCTGTACCTCCCCTATGATTTTTACTGTCTCCAACGAACTTAAGCATATTTAGAACATGGAAATTTAATTTTTTCGTGATTTTCAACTCTCATTCTTTACAGGTGGTTTTTGTGAAAAACAATGTACTGATGGGAAATTGTGTCTTAAGTTTGGAGTCACATACTTTTGTATCTGTCCTGAAGGGAAAAGAGGAGAAAAGTGTGAGAAAACAGGTTGGAACAACTTTTAAATTTGTTGCAGAGAAAAAGCCACTCCCGTTGCGTTTGATTCATTTTGCCATCTTCCCAACCTTAAATTAAGTGCTTGTACAGTTTAACCATACTCTTCTTCTACCGATATCTTAGTTTTACACGCGGTTGTGCCTATGTATTTAATGATACCTCGCATTAAGTTCGTCGTTTTAGAAACTTGTGTATACCTGATATATATGCTACATTTACGTAGACAGATAGACTGATTATTCAGACTTGATGCTGATCTCTAATGAATCAGTCTAACACTCCAAAGCACAGACTTAAACTTAGCTCAACACATACTTTGAAAATTGATGTTGGTCCCTATTGAATCAGCCTTTAACCTTCCAGAGGATAGACTTACATTTAGCCATACGCATATTCATTTAAATTTTGTACATTTGTTGTTTTTTTTTTTTGCGACCACATGCCCAGTGGAAACCAAATTGCCTCTCTTCTTGCTTTTAGCTAAGTAGTGGTATTTCGGCAACGTGGATAAGTTCGTTCGATTTGTCTGCTGTTCAAAGCTTTAAGATAAACTGAAGGTCTTCGAGATTTTATCCCCTTTTGAGGCGTTATTTTTCGTTTCGCTTCTTGTAATGTTCATGCTTCTCTTGCTCCCAACAGATACACCTAAGAAAGACTTTGATGTCGGACTTAAACTCAAGGGAGAGTTCAAACAAGCGTATGAGAACTTGGAAAATCCAGAGACAAAAGTGTTTGTCAAAAGATTGAAAAAAAAATGTGAGTGCTTTGGTAAAAATAATTATGATTAACTTGAAGTTAGTATTGTAATATTTTAAGGAAAGAAAGAATTATTTTGGAACACAGCCCATTGCATATCATGATTTAAAATAGTTTAGTAAGGTGTACGTATGCACCAGGCGACTGCAAGGCCCCATCCGATTTCTACACGGACACCTTCTCACTCAGAATTAGGCGAAGTGTGGTGCTTTTCATTTAGAAATTAATTTTTCTTGTATTGGGATAAAAATATATTTCGTTTTAGGGGCTTCGCTCTTAATGTCGTTTTAAAACATCAGATTGGGGCATAAATTTCTCCTTGTCAGTACATAGAAAGTAGAGAACATAGAAATGGAATTTTTTTTTTCAGATGATGGAAGAATTCAAAGGCACTGGTCTCACTAGCGTTAAGGTGCTCAAGCTGAGGTAATACGTTTTCAAACTTGTGTACGTTAAATCAGAAACTTCCAGGTTAATTTTGTTCATCGTGTAGTCTTTGCGGTACTGATGCACAAGAAGCGCTGAGGGCGCAAACCAATCATTATTTTTGCGTCATAAGATTATAAACTGACCGAACTATAATCTCTTTCTTAACTTACATGTCGTACAGGGGAGTACGTGTGATGCTGGATTATTTATAGATCACTTAGAACGTCCTTCTTAAAGCCGCACTATAATTTGCGAGTAATATGTCGCAGCTCAATGTATCGAACAGGGTTTGTTAAGAATTACAGTGAGTCATATGTGTACTTAAGACGCCCAAGATAATGAGCTGTTCTGGAGAACAAACCTTTTGATAATATTTTGATAATAATCTACAGTTTGTGAGTCAGATCCTCCTGGTGATTTTTGTTGTTTTAAGATTAAAATAAATTTAAAATTCACGAGGAATTTTTTAAAGACAAGATGATGACATGACTCATGCCATCATCAGTTTATTGTGTTGTATCATTTAACTTATATTTTAGACGTTACATAAACAGTATGCCATCCGTTTTAATCGGTAGTTCCATTGGTACCGTTACAATAGTTTAAGTAAACACTCGTGCGCGCAAATGTAACACTTGGAACGTTAACTTATTTTTTTCTATTTTTTTGGAAGTGAAGAGAAGTTATTTTGCATCTGAGTATTCAGCTCAGGTTTCAAGCGGCTCATGTGCAATGCCTCCTTAATTTTATGCAATGAGTTGTTTTGGCTGAGTCTAGAATCTTAAATCACTCAGCTGAACATTTTTGACCCAGAACTAGGAAGAGCACTCAACTGCTTGCGAACACGTTTTACGATTAAAATGAAATATCAAAATTTGAGTATTGAAAGGATGGAAGGCAAGATTGGAAGGAGGAAAGCTAGAATGTTTATCGAGGAAGTCCAGGTTTAAATTGCAGCGCCTAAACACATTTCTATTTACTTGCCTTTTTATCTAAAAGCGTTTGACTTCTTGCTTACCTCTCAGGCAAGGAGGTATCATTGCTGACTTGAAACTAACATTTAACGATTCTGTCGGAGAAAGTAGTGTAAATGCATTGCTGACACAGGCAGCGAATAGGGGAAAAATTGGTGATACGGAAGTTGAAGAGATTAGCGTTGGAAAAACTTTCCCAGGTTAGTTCTTTTGTCTTCGTCAATCGCTGCTGTTTTGGAGATCACGGCACTTTGCTTAGTTATTCTCTATTATCTGACAAAGCCAGATTTTTGGAGACACAGTTGATGACTTTGTACTCTGAAAGCTAACTTTTTGAGGTGTTTTGAACTAACTCAGAGTTTATCATTTCCTCTCGCCGGCTTAACCGCATTTGGAATTACTAGGTCCGGGATTTCTTTTCCCTTAAAGACCCGTAATGATGAGTGAAAATGTGCCTGGGTGGCTAAGAATTTAAAACTGATTGAAATGAGGCTTTTTTTTTGTATGTTTGTATGTATGTTTCAGAGCCAACTACAACTTCAGTACCACCCGAGGACTGTGGAACCTTCTTTGAGGGAGAAGATTGTAAAATAGGTAGGGATTAATTTTTTTTTCCAAAATCAACCTATTGTGTGAAAATATTATGTTAGTGATAGTGTTTAGTAGATTTTAGTGAAAGGGGAGATGGCCATGATCTCGGAGCGGAATCACGAAAGACAAGATTGGCATGCAAATTGTCAACTATTATTTTAATGATATAGCGTACTGATTGACCAATCAGAGGGCGCGTATTTCATTAATCACGTTGGTGATTTCACTCAAAAAGACATTCACCGATTGTATAACAAGTTCAAATGATTGCAAGCTTATAACGTTTTCCAAACTTTTTTGTTTTCCAAAATAGTACATTTTTGGATAAATCAACGGTTTTTCTCTGCATGTTTTGCTAATCTCTTGAAAAATCAATAGTCAAATTTTGCGAATAAAAAATTAAAATGAATTTAAAATTTATGTTTTCCTCTGCAAGATTTAGTATTCCGTAACAAAGTTTGTGTTAATGGTCAACTATGAAAATATGTATAAGGTAATTCGTTTAAAATTGTTCAAAGGACTGAAATTGTGTCGCAGAAATTCTGCGACCACTCGTGCACTGGATGTCGCAGAAATTCTGCAACCACTCATGCAGTGGGTGTAGCAGAAATTCTGCTACTACTCATACACTGGGTGTGGCAGAAATTCTGCAACTACTCATACACTGGGTGTCGCAGAAATTCTGCGACACAATTTCAGTCCTTTGAACAATTTTAAAAGATTTGTATGTGTCATGAATAGAGCACAAATATATCATTTAAATCTTGCATTGACTTGCATTGAAATCACAAGGAAATTAATTCTCAACTGTCTAATGAAAGCCTTAGACCCTTCACTATCCAGAGGAAAAATGCTAAATTGACAGAATCACAGATTTTAATTAATATCTCCACCAATGTTTACAATAGGGAATTATGCTACATGTGTATCTCAATTAAAAGGGCAAAAATAAGCTTTTAGAAAAAGTGATCCTCTTTCTCAGTTAGCTGCGACTGCTTCCAAAATAAGAAAAAATCAAACCGTGCAATGTTGCCTAATAAGTCACAAAATTATGAAAGGGAAAGTATGCGGTAGACCCACTCTACAAAGCCATTTTGAGGGCGCCATCTGGTTTTGCCGGGTTCTACACTGAAAACAACGACGGACTCTAAAATCTGGTCAACTCTTGTCGCTGTTCTCAACCATTTCTCGAAAATAATCGGTGTCGAATCTTTGAAAGATATTCCTTTGCTGGACCCTTTGGAGTATCACCTCCTGAGGGAAACTTAAGGTATGAACAAACTGGTGCATCTTTAAGGGTTTATACATGACTCGTGATTAAGACCAAAATTAAATACGACGCGTGAATTTTACTGAAAGGTTAACGTTATTCGTGAATTTATGAAACTGTGTAAGGCGAGATTTGATATCCTGAAGTATACTTGAACCCTGAAGTTTTTGTTTTGATGTTGTTGTTGTTGTTTTTTTTCCCATTACGTGAAAACCTCAAGATTTCGATAAACCTTGCACACAAGATGAGAAATTAGAAAATTTCCCTTTTATATCCGTGACGCGTGAACTGATTTTTCGAAAATTCGCCAGCAATACCTTAACGGTCCTCTTTCAGCTCGAATTATTTCCAACGAATTCCAGGGGTGCGTTCCAATTTGTTTCAGTAAACTCATGGCCAATGCTATTTTGGAAAACACAAAATAGTTTGGAAAGCGTTTGATATGATACACACTCTGTTTTCTGTACCTTGCGCTCACTGCGATGACATCATGATAAAATTAGTGATCAGGTACCCTGGATGGTGTAGTGATGAGAGAGCTTGCCTGTGGCCTGGGTTTGATTCTCGGAAAGTCTTGGTAGTTCCCATTCGACAAACAGGTTTTATTGTGTTTGCTGTGTTCACATTCAACATCGAGGTATATAAAAGTGTAATTCGAACAGCTAAAATTTCGGGAAATTTTTCCGCTAGTAGCCTCATTATTAATCCATAAGTTTTGATTTTAATCAAAGTTTCGAGCCCGTTTTGTTAACGTGACTATCGAGAAACCGGAACCAAGTTTCATTTTTTTTTGTTAAAAGTTTCGTTCGCTCTAATTCTGGCGAGGATACTTCTCCTCGTTCTCCTTCCTCCAATCCCCACGTCAAACTCCAATATGGGATATGAGATATGAGCATGGGAAGGGCTCCCATGCTCATATCCACTCGAACTTGATGGAATTTGATAATCATTTTATCAATTTTCTTGTAAGATTTATTGGAGTTTATTACGTCCATTTTGAAATCACTGGTGGTCCTGGTCGGCGCGATTTATTTACGCATCGCACTATTGTTTGCTCTAAATCGCATCTTTTCCTAGTCAATGAGAAAGCTTTCCTAAAACGCAACAACCAATCAGATTTCATGGCTTGTTTAAAGTAACCAATCAAATGGCAACAAAATAAGAAAGGCAACAATGAATCATCTACAAACCAATCATTTAAAGTAACCAATTAAATCGCAACAAAATGAAAGGCAACATTGAATCATTTACAAACCAGCTCAGTACTGCGTCAGTTGAATATTGGTTACATTTTGCGCTTCATAAACGGATGTAATAGAGCTGCAATTGAACTCCGTGTTGTGCAATCTTAGTTGTGATTTCAAATGACGGGTATGATTTCAGACCAAATTGCACTCCATTCACTTCAATTACAATTATAAACTGTGCTAGGCCATATAACTCCATGCTATTTATTCGTGATCTTTTCCAGCGAAGCCTGGTTTGATTGTACTCTGTGTGATTGGAGGTGTGGCAGTTTTGGCAATCATCGTAGCAATAATAGCTTACGGTTTGCACAAGAAAAAAATCAAACGTTGCATCCTTTTCAAATGGTAAGCTTATCAGAATTCTTTTTTTTTTTTTTTTTCGGTGATTTTTTTTATTTATTTACTTTTTACTTTTATCATCATTTCTGATGATGGTGTTTTTCTCTCTCTCTCTCTTTTTTTTTTTTGAGGGGGGGAGAGGGTAGAGGAAAAGTTATACTTTTTTATTCCCTGGAGAAATAATTCGGTACCGGCAATCTGTTTGAGATTTGGAACAAAATGCCAGAAATCGGACAAACGTGAGTGTTCCTAAGGGGAAATTAGTTCTAATAATCTAACTGGGATAGAAACAGCTGGTAAAAATGGGTAACAAATTGTTTTCTTTTCCGATTCGTTTGGGTTGTTCCACGATGCCGAAACTGTAATAATGGATGCCACAGAATTTTGAAAAATAATAATTAAAAAAAAAAATGAAGGGAGAAAAAAAAAAGAAACAGATCAATTCTGTTCTGGAAGTAGAAATGACCGTTTTTGTTTTTGTTTTTGACTCGTAGGTAACTATACACCAAGGGTCGCTCCACACGGGTGAGACATTTGTGTTGGAAAATGATTTATAATGTATAGTTGCCGCAATGTTTGTTAAATACGCAGTAATGGTAAAAACTGAAATCGTCGTGCTCTTTTGTTATGTAAGCCTGCTAAAGCAAAGCAAGCGCTCTTTTAGGCCGTTAGCAAGATCACAGGCTGCGATATATTTTAGGAGGCGTTTGATCAAAGGTTCCTCTTCATATACGTACATACAAACAAACAAGTCAATACCCCCCCCTTCCCCCCTCAAAAAAAAAAAAAAAAAAAAAAAAAGAAGATTGAGCGACGAGTTTAACGTAACAATCGTTTTAACGTAAGATTGAAGACCACCTTGAGTTAATTATCTCTATTTTTGGTCTTGTTTATCTACCAACTTTCCCGTTCTTGACATTTTGGATTGAACTAAAATGTTAGGGAATTAGGGACTTTATTGTTGTGAGAAAGGAATGCTACAATTAAAAGAACAACGTAAACTTACAGGTATATGGTAACTTGTGATAGGGACAGTCACCTTCGATATGGCTCCGGCCTTGGCTTTCTGTGAGATTCTTTGTCTATTTCGTAGCTTTTCTTGATATGAATTGTGAAAGTCAAATAAAAATGAATCTTTTATATAGTCAATTTCTATAAATCTTCTATCCTAAGTCAGTAACATACGTGGACTTTTGACGACGACAAATTAATTTCACTAGTTTATATATATATATATATATATATATATATATATATATATATATATATCAACTTGCCTCTTTTTGGTATGATAGCACTGCTGGTTCAGCAGAGAGGACTCCTCAAGGGAACAGTTATGGAAATGTGAATTCAGGATACGATTATGACAAAACGAATGGCCAGAACCACTCCAATGAAATGGTAACATTCAAGGGGACAAATCCAGCGCAGACTCCTGGGATTGCAATCAACGACTCCAGTATGACAAAGGTAAGGCAAGCTCAAAGTCATGTAGGTTCTACTTTTGTTGCCCTATGTACAGCACTAGTTACTTCAATCTCATATTCGTGAAAAAGTTAATCATAGTGGATCCTTTTTCGGTTTATTTTAGTTTTTTTTGTGACTGTGTGTGTTCTCCCACCTTGAACAACAATTATTTAAGACTCATATTTAAAATGCCGTAACTTTGCGGTGACCTACTTATGCCCACGTCTGGTACACTACTCAGGGATGTCATAAAGCCTCTACTGCACGCTTTTCACTCCGCAACTCATGTTTCATTCGTATTCAACTAAAATCATAATTTGCAGTTCATTTGGCAACAAACGCATAAATTGAGCCATGAAATGATAACGCATTAACTTACTTCTAGCGCTAGTCTAGTATCAAAACAAGCCTGGAAAAGTTGTCGTGTCCGGAAAATTTAAGCAATCAATAATCAATGAATCAATCAACGTTGTGCAACCGCATATTACAATCCTCGTGAATGCCTTTTAATGTTAACTAAACTTCAAGCTGACTTTGAAAACTTAAAATGGCTAATGATAGTAGCCATCTTTAGATAATAAGATATGCCCAAGACTAACGCTTTTGTGGTCAGGATCGCCTATTCCCAATCAAGTAAGAAACTTTTTACTGAATTGAACCCAGTCTTCACATCCAAGCAATAATCAGCTGGATACCAAGGCACAATAATGGCTTATTGGAATTAAGAGGATGACAATCACCGAAGCAGTCCAAAATGTGTGACTCAAAGCCACTTGTCATTATTTACTTGAGGTTGTGGCTGAATTTATACCCTTACTGGTACAACAAACCACTTTATTCGATAATTAACTTGTGATATTTTTTGTTTTGTTTTGTTTATTGTTTGCTTGTTTGTTTGTGTGTTATTGTTGTTGTTTTTTTTTGGCATTAATTACTAAGTTGCAAGAGTGTTGTGAATCAGATAATTAACGTACTGTAGTCCTGATGTACCTTAGCTATAATGACCCATTCGCTTAGCGTTCTTCTTAAAAGAACAGACAACGCTTGGCAACCGATAGCAGCAATAACTGAGGGTGGCCTTGTTTGTTCTATTTTGTTCTGCCATGTTACAATGGGAAACAGATTACATAACAATGAGGAGTAAACCACGAACAATTGTCAAATAGTCTTTATTCTTTAGAGTGCAGCTATTATAATTCTTGTCTTTTATGAGGTTTTGAGTGGCTTATCTTTTCAAAATTGAAGAAATATTTTTCTTTCATAAGCAACTGTTGTTGGGCGTTGTTATTTCTTCTTACACATTGTATTTTCCTTGCAGTGAGCAAGAAAGACGAAGCCAGTTCTGGCTTGACGGATAAGCAGTTAACTCTTAATAAACCGATCTTTAGAGTAATATTCGTACACCTTGAGCATACTGAGATATTTTCGTAGCCTGTGAGTAAGTAATTTTCTAGGTTTAGAATCTAAGGGCTTCTGTCGTAGTTTCGTTTCGCCCCTTGTGTTCTTTTTTTTCAAGTAAACATCAAATTACATCTTTTTGCCAAATTTTAGCACACGAAAATAATTCAAGATTAGTGTTTGTAGAGTAACCACTCAACTGTGCGGTGTGTGGTGAAGTTTAAGTTTTAACGAGCAAGCTACTGTATGTTGCATTCCACTTCATTCATAACTTTAGTTCTCGCAAATCATTGTCTTTTTCATGTCTTAAACTTAATGTTTTATCTAGCGATATAAGTGTTTTAAATCTCGTGGGTCGATTAAAATCTTACATAGTTGATTTTCATTGGCAGTCCAGGCCACTAAAATTGTGGTCGTAAAAATTTTGAGATAAAAGTAGCTTGAACTGATGGTATAATGTTAAAGGAATAATGCCACAACAAGATAAGGTCTAGTTTTAACGATAGCAATACAGAAATAGCTTATTGCATTTTAATAGGATATTTATAGCATTCATTTAATGAGTGTCCTAGGTATTATTTATTCAACTAGTCGCTAGGTGGTAATCATAATTTAGAAGGGAACACGACATAATTTTTTTTCATGTACGTAACAGTTAGATTATGAAAGCTCTCCATTTCTAAAGCGTGATAGTTGATGAAGGAGAGGTCCAAATCCATTATCGTGCATAGTAAACGATATTGTTTTGGTATCAATGTACCAGTGGTTCAAACCTTGAGAACAAGTCAAGCTTATGTTTTCTTTGTAATTTGTTTGCATTCGCGCACCAAAAGGCTTCGAACTGTATTCACTATCTGTATATCATTGAACAGATAGCGAGTATTGTAACCGATCAGATTGCAACATTTGCGATGAAACAGCGATAGAATTATACTGAAATGTTCAAAGTCGTAACCTTTAGCTGTATAGTATTTGTGCATCGGCACGATAACATTTGTGGTAGTTAAAACATAATCATAATCATGATCATATAATTATATTATTCATTGTTAGCAGTTTTCTAGGTGGATGATTTTTAATCCTAAGAGGAAATTATTAAGAAACTTACTGGTCGACGATTAAACATCTTTACAGCGTGGTGTGTTATCAAAAAATATATCAGAACTATTATTAATTCGTTAGTCATCGAAGTAAGTATATTCAGCTGATTTTGTATCTTTAAACTTGAGATTCGTCAATTAATTAAAGCAGTTTAAATGCATCTTTTTATGTTTATTTGTTGAGGGTTTTAGCATAGATGCTGTACCTTTTAAATGTGACCTGTGGGTCTGTAATTGTTGTTAAGCTCAGCGGTGGCTATTGACTTCGTTTTTTTGGTTATTATTTTGCATGCCTGTTTTCTTTGCAGAGCATGAGTTAACCCTTGGACCCTAAGAGTGACAACCATGTAATTTCTCTTTGAAATATCACCTTTAACCACACAATAGAACACGAGAGGAAAGGAAAAGGAAGTGATTGGTTGTTAAAAAGTTCTCCTTTTCAGCACCATAGGTAATGTATAGAGCACAGCATAGAGACTATGCATACTGATGTTCGAGTATAAACGGTAACGTGTGAGGGGTTTTGAAAATATGTTCAACTTTTAAGGAGACATTTTGATAAAATGGAGTCTTTCATCGATCTTTTAGTTGCCTTTTTCAGATTTCAAAGGTTCCATATCTTGAGATTGTTTTTTCTACCCTTCATTTAAAAAATGGTACACACAGTTACCAAAAGCGATACTGCTACCATCTTTGGGGAACCGTTGAAAGGAATTTTTTGAACGTAAATCTGTGGAGAAAGAGCCGTGTTAACTATTTAATTCCCAGAGTGGCTAGTATCCAATTTCCACTCACGATATCACCGTTGAATCACAAGGAGGCTGTGTGGTTAGGGTGCTGGTCTTGTGATCTGGTGGTTTCGGGCTCTAGCCCCCTGGCCCTCCATCCTGCCACTCACTGGATTTGTTCTCGGTTGCCCCAAGTTCAATTCCTTGGCTGCACTTTGTACACATGTACAGCCAACTGGCCTGCCTCCTTCCCGTTGGGGTTTTTTTTTTTTAAATCAGCACGGTTCGCTTGCTTCCAATTTGTCCATATTGGCCCTTAAAAGAGGTCAATTAAGTATACTTACATACAAACGATCAGGGTCTCGAGAAGAAACAGAATGAGAGCCATTCAAAACGTTACGATTGTTTTAAAAAAACAAAATATTTTTGTTAGTCACATAGGGAATGTGTAGGGAACAGTATAGAACATATACAGGTATGCAGGTTGACGTCAGGATGTTTAGGGTAACTGGATTTGACAGATCAAATAATTTCTGCAATAGTACGTTCAACCATGTTTGGAGCTTTTTAAATCAGTGCGAATGTTAGTCGTGGTGAGGCCGCAAAGTGGAAAAGGAGGAGAGGGCAAAGAGTTATAACATGTAATTTGCACTAAAAAGAAATTAGCCTCCCTCCACTGGAATCTTGTTTACATTCCTGCAAATACTGTTGAATATTGGTGATACAATGTGGAGGCGCGGTGGCCTTATGGTTAGTGCGCCCGACTCCGGATCGGGTGGTCCGGGTTCGAGCCCTGTCCTGGGTCATTGTGTTGTGTTCTTGGGCAAGACGCTTTACTCTCACAGTGCTTCTCTTCACCCAGGTGTACAAATGGGTACCAGCAAATGTGCTGGGGGTAACCCTGCGATGGACTAGCATCCCATCCAGGGGGGAGTAGCAATACTCCTAGCCGCTTCATGCTAAGAAAACCGGTGTTAAGCACCGGCCCCATGGGCCACTTGGGCCCGTATAAAGGCTTTTACTTTTTTACATTGTTGATACATAAGGAGCTTTTTTTATCCCTGTCCGGTGCTTTTGATCCAAGGCCAAAGCTTTTAGCAAAAACTACAAGGCCAACTCTCTGCTAACGACCAGCTCTCTGCAGCCATCTCATTATGTCAAGCCCTTTTGTAGATTTTATGTGTATTCTCGGTAGATTTTCTTTTGGTATGATTCTGTTTCTCTAATATTTGTTTCTTCGCAAAGATTGAAACGATTTGTGCACTACTTAAATTAGTCTTTGTCAGACTTTCTTAAATGGAGATATACGAAAACGAAGGCGGGCGAAAAATGGTGGGAATGGGGCCGTTTCCCAAGATGACCATCTAGCGTTGTTTGCCCGCCACCGACGAAGGGTTTAGAGGAGATTATAACCTTGCGACAGTTGTCTGGCAGTAAAGCTGACGTGTTGCAACATGCGATACCCTGCGCGAAATTGAGGGTGATCCTTTGGTATCGTCGCCTTGACAAAGTTGGATTGATTCAATGCCTTTTGCTGATTCTTCACCACCAGTCTTCCAGTAGGTACAAGTCTCTTGATACATTGTTTACGACTTTTCATAATAATGTATCTGTGTTTATGCTGTAGCGTCCTTTGTGTGAAAATCTTTGAGGCGCGGTTGTCATAAAGGAGGTTGAGATTTCTTTCCCTTGGCCTAGATCCTTTGTCCATATCGATAACTTTAAATAGATAAAACAAAAACCTAGTTCATTACTTCATGTCAGTCCTCGTCAGAACTACATGCCTTCTTCTTTGGTTAAATTACCTAACGTGTCTCCACTTTTTTTCTATCAAGATAATCTGTTTTAACGGGATATGGAAACGTATGTGTAAAGCGTAACTAGGAGAAGAAAAAGCCAATTACACTTTGTTGGATGGTTCAGAACGACAACTAAAAGTTGTCTAAATACAACTACCTTTTCCATCAATGATGGTACCGGCTGGAATGATATAGGAGTTATATGCCATCCTGGCGATAACATTGTGATATATGATAGAAATAATTAAAAGACGCTATTTAATATCAGTAGAAGTGATGAGGCCACCCCGATAGTTTAAAAAGTGACTGAAGATGAACAAACGATTTTCCAGTGCTAGCAGTCTCCACGCTAAGAAACTCTTGGACCTACAGGATTTTCCTGAACTTTACAAGTAGGTATCAATTAGGTGGAACGCATCTTTTCATAGCGGTTTATTTTGGTTTCCTATGATTTGGACACACTTTTTAACTTTTGCCGGGCTTTTATTTTGTTAAGACAAAGGAAAACGTGTGCGGACGAAAAGTAGCGGAGATTTAGCCCTTTCCCATGGAAACCACCAAGCATCGTTCACAAGCCACCGACCCAGCACCTTTGACAGGCTACGCGCGCCTACTCGCTTGACGCTGACGGTTGCCTGGCAGCTAAGCTGTTGTGAAAGTATAATGTGATACGTTGCACGCCATTGAAAGTGATCTGTCGTCTTGTATGCGTTTGTCGTAGAACATGGCCTCGGTTAACATAACTTCGGCTCTTAACAAAATTGGATTAACAAGGTTTGGTGGAATATTTCTCTGGCTGATTCTTCATCGACAGTTTGTCGGTAAGCTTAAGGCTTTCAATGCTTTGTTTATCACTTACATGGTTTTCGTATCTGTAAGTTTTTGTGATGTAGCTTTGATATCAGCGGGGATCATGCTCCAAACAAGGTCGTGAGCGTATGGCTGTTGAGACGGTGTAAAGCATATAATTCTCATCTTGTGTACTTGATTCATACATAAGATCGTAAATATTCGTAGATCACATGCATTTGCGATTCATAGTTTTCGACTTATCATGGGGAGATAGATTCTGTCGAAGCACTGAGGATGTCTTAATGCAAGGTCCAATATATTTTGATAACAATCACATTCTTCAAAGCAGAAGAAAATTAGCTCACATTTAAGACGCTTTTTCCTTTAATCGTATGATCGTTGAGTCATAAAGGCTGGCTGGCTTTGTATTTATGTTATTGGATTTAACCCGTGAAAGTCATGTTTTTGTTTAGTCAAAATATAACACTGACTCACAAGGAGATAATCTGTTTTATTTAACGGAATAAGGAAACCGAGAAAACTTAAGCAAAGGGGCTAGGAGCCGTAAATTGATTTATTACTCTTAGTGATCAAGTTTACAAGTGCGTTTCAACTTGATCAATGATTCGAAATGACGACAATTTCGCCGAAACATTCCAGGTTCCTTTGTGCAAATTAGGATGCCATCTGTGGATGTAGACATAAATAAGGGGAAGATAGGCGTAGAACTTTTATTATGTTTAAATTTTACGACCAAAATATGACACAATCCGCTGTCTGGAAAGATTGAAGCTCGAAAAGGAAAAACGAATATACACATTGGGTTGTTGAGTCTTGCGTGACTGATGTTATGTTACGCGTGATTGTTTGTCATGCTTTTAGCTTGAACACGATTATGGTTTCTGTGATCTGTCAATTTCCCTTTCTTCTATTGGGCGATTGTTATTGTGCCTAAGATGATATGTGCTCTAAATCCATAGCATCGCTCGCGATTTTGAAAGATGAACTCCAATGTTTGCAAACGCTTTCACATTTGTTAATGTTTGTTTATACTGAGGTTCTGCTTAGAGTTAGTGTTAAATTGTTACCAAAAATAGAGGTAAGCTTTGTTGTCAACTGCAGCTTTTCCGTGCTCAGCACTGCAAATGCTAAATGAGCCTAACATGAGTTTTAGTTTTCTTTTACTATTTTTTAACTTTTTTGATGTTACGCAGAAGAGAATTGACTACGTGACGTGCTTTCATTTAGCACTCGCCTAAGGGAGGCTTACAGGCAGAAATGGTTCATTGGCTTTTAAGAGATCGACAACAATGTGTTGATAACGGCTAAATATTATTGTTTGAGGTTTCCTGCGTAATTGGAGGTGTAAACTTAACAATTAATTCTTAGAATCATTGTGGTCAGAAATAAATAATTAAGTTCTCTGACGTCGACCACATTAATATCCGGAGTGTTTGTTTTGGCGCTGTGTCACAAATGTGAAATGCAAAAGCAAATGCCGCTAGCAATGTTTTAATGTGTCTGCCTTTATTGTTAAATTTGAAAAGATCCGAAGCTGTTCTTGATCAAACTGATAAGAGCTCCAGACAGGCACAAGGAACTGAATTACCCTTTGTACTAAAAACCAAAAGAGAACATAATCTGTTTCTACGAAAAGTTTTCCTTCTTTCGAATATTCAGAGCCTCAGTTCATTTTTCTATTGTTGTTATTTTATATTTTTTAACTCCTTGGACATCCCAAGGGCAAAAGACAAGAAAGGCTCTGGAATGCTCTTTATAACGCAAACATATTGCGAGGGCTTTTTCTGCCAGAAAATGGATTTATTTTAATTCATAGATATATTAATTTTTGCAACGTCACCCTCTAGGTGTGCCTAATCAAGAAAAACCGGCTATTTTAATTTCCCATTTATGAAAGGTTCTTTGTCGTTATTTAAGTGTTCTAGATCTTACTGATTGCCCCTCGATCGACACCTCTCGCAGTCTGAGATAATCGCACGCGATAAACGTCGAATAACTTGCCGTCGTGATTCTTGCCGTACCTCTTTAGTTTAATACAAGTTGAATACGATGTCGTCGCTTTCATTTGTAAAGCATAGTTTCAGTTATATTCAACTTGAAAGAAAAATGGAAGGAACAACATCCTCAACTTCTTATCACAAATCATTCTTCTCTCTACTAAAAATTCTAAAATTACTAAGCTATCGATACAAACTAGAAAGCTGGTTTTTTCTTTTCCTTCTTCTCCTTTAAGGGCAAAATTGATCTTCTTGCTAATGAATGTTTTCCTACGTGTTTTATTCTTTAAGCCCTGACCGTCTTGAAACGTTCTTTCAGTGACGGCTTCATATTTTCCTTCACTCTTACGATAATTTTCACCTTAAATTTGTGAATTTTTTATTATTGAAATTGAAAAACAATTGCTGGACTGACAAGAACATCTCTTATTGGGGGGAAGGGGTGGGGACTTTTGGTAAGAAGTCATATTGTATAAAGTTCTCAAAATGGTAGGTAAAATTTTGGGCGTGCAGTGATATTACGTAATATCTTAAAAGTGGCTGCTACTTTGGCTTACAAAAAGGAAGCAGTTTAGTGATCAATAATTTTACCACCCCTCTCCTAACACAAGATTCATGGAAATCAAACTACACCATTCTAGAAATGTAGCGAACGAATATTTTAACAAAAGTAACTAGAAGTGATCGAATATTTTGCAAAAATAAGTGATTTAGGGTTATTCAGTTTAAATCCATTCTTTAAAGAACAGTTACCTCTTAGTTCAGGATAAACAAAATTTGGAGTGAGTGAAAAGTTATATTGGTGGGAACGCTCTTACTGTTAATGTCAATTTTACGTTCGTGCAGCTGAGACAGGAAAAACGAGTACTTAGAGGGAAAAGAGGGCTCCCTTGGCACTGCCATAACCGTTATTGTATCTGTCAGCTTGGGTAGCATAGCATTGGGATTACTTCAAGTTGCTTTGTAAACAGGTCAATTGAAAAAGGAAGTGTGTTTACCTTTTAACTCTCATGAGTGATCAAGACAGAATTTTTCCTTCTCCTTAATTGATCCAATATTCAATTTTCCGAACTGACGTAAGGCAAACAATAAGGAGAATTCAGTCCTTATGAGATCTTGGGTGTGAAAGGGATAATAATATGGTTACCCTCTAAGGAGGGTAACTGTTACTCTTCTCTGTATGATAAATTAAAAAGATTATGTCTTACTTCAAAATGTTGTAGCCACTACAGTACTGTGGACAAAACCAGCCCCAAGTTGGACCCAAACGGATTCAAATGACATCAGAACAGTTGATATTCAAGTGTTGAAGGGCAGCACCCACATACATCTCAGTTGGAATTACACTTTGTCAGAAGGTTCAGATCTGAAGACAACAACTTTTTCCATCAATGATGGCAGCAGCTGGAATGACATTGGAGTTATATACCATGCTGACAATGACATTGTGATATATAGCAAAAATAATTACAGGACGCGATTTAATATCAGCGATAGTAATGTGGCCACCCTGATATTAAAAAAAGTGACTGAGGATGAACGAGCAACTTTCCAATGCAAGCTCTCCACGCTAAGTAACTCTTGGACCTACAGTATTCTCGTGAATTTTACAAGTAAGTGTCAGTTTGGTGATATCCATCTTATTACATCCGACGCATTGTATAAAACTCCAGTCTTAAATCACTCTCGTTACTTTTTATTGTTTAATTTACCAACCAACCCCAACTGTGTCTCTTTGATAAAAATGTCTGGTTTTGGTATCCGTACTTCCCCTCTGTATTCAATCTGTCGCAAGATATACTACTACCATGACCAAACTTTCGAACCCAGTGTCGAGCTTTGGAAGGATTTGCTATTTTTGATCTTCAGTCAAGACCCTTTATAGTTACAGTAGCTGGTAGCCCCACCAAAATGTTATGGGGTCGAGGGCTACCCGGAGTGATCAGCAAGCTACAGTTATAGCACGCGTAGCTGTTCGCATGTCTGAGAAAGTTAACAGAAAAAGCGCCCAGTTTTTCTTAAAATGACCCCAAGTGCCCCAAAACTATGCAAAACAGCATAACCCAAAAACCAGCGTTAAAACATTCTTATAACCACGCCGGTAAGGCAATGGTCTTTGTATTATCTCCTTAGAGTCAAAGAGTCTCAATTGGGAGTGTATATCACATAAAAAGCAGAACCATGTGCAATTTCCGCTTTGAAAGTGCAATAGTCTGACGTATGGGAAGAATGGCGGTTTAAATTGATTTAGAATTGACGATTTTGGCTTATTTTTTTGCCAGAGCGACATCTGAATTGGGTGGAGCGACCGTTATCTGTTGTTGCTGTTGAACGTCACAACCTCACCCTTCGGTGGACCTATATGAAGATACTTGACCTAGCGTCGTCATTTCGAGAAGCAGAATTTACTGATCTTAGCAGCGGGGAAAAAACCATTGCAGAAAAAGTGTTAAATACTGCACCAATCGTACATACAGCTTATAGACCTCGATTTCATGTGGATTATATACAAGATACTATGGCGTCTATAACAATTGTTGGACTGAAAAGATCAGACAGAGGAAGATATAGATTTGATGTTAAAACCCTCAGGGAGGACATCAACGAACTGAACACGCTCTCCAGTATCCTGGAACTCACAGTGCATTGTAAGTAAACAAACAAAAGCTGTGTTTGGTCATGTAAAATGTGGCCTATATCTCTAAAACCAAGGTGTTTTTTTACTCAGTATAATGCGTATCATAACCAACGCAAGTTGTAACTTCATTGGGATGGATCGTCATTATTGTGATTGTGATTATCGTTATCCTTTTTGCTTCATCATTATCGTAAAGGTCATCGATATCATTATCGTTACTTTCAATTCTTTTCTGCATTCATTTTTTCGTTGTCGTTGTTGCTAAATTCGTTTTCTTCCTCCTGCAGAAAGTGACAACGTTTACATTTTGGGCGATACTTGTCGCTGTTAATTTAGGATCATTGTATATATACGTAGCTTTTGCCAGACAGCGTGTTATATAACTTTCTCGTATGGTGTTCTTTTATTTTTGTGTTAAATAAGCGCGGTCGCAACTAGTAAAGCAATGTGTGGATTTGACTTTAACGATAGTTTACTCGTTCTCTCTCTACTTTTTCTAACTAGTAAAATGTGATTTATTTTCAGATGCGGCGAACATGACCAATGTTAGCGACCACCAAACTGTGCAAGAAGGATCTTATCTTCAACTGTTATGTCAAGCATTTGGCAATCCAACCCCAAACATAACGTGGACCAAAGTGCTTGAAAATAGTAACGATAGTAAAGTGCTGCATCATGGAACCCATTGGAATTTAACAAAAATTAACAGAACTGCTTCTGGTTTATACAACTGTACAGCTGATAATGGAATTGGAAATCCAGTGTGGCGGCTGATAAAAGTCAATGTTACCTGTAGGTGTATCATACCTTGTCACCGCTTTGATTGGCATTGAGAATTTTAATTCCCATTATTTTTCCGTCTCCCAAAACGTCTGGTAAACCAAAAAATGCCTCGGTTGACGTTCAAGAAGTATGAGTGATAAATATCTTTAATAAGGTACTTCAAAAAAACCTCTTGACCGGGTGAAAGCATTTGTGAAAAGTACTCTTGTCGGCGTCAAGGACTGACGTTTCGACGACATATACAGAAACTGAAAAGTTGCTTGTCAAAGATAGGTGAAAGGGTTATGGTAAATGTTCGGCCCGTTTTACTGTGATCTTGTTTGCTACAAAAGTTAATCAGCGTCAGCAATTCATCCTTACAGCAGACGCTAGCTGAAGTGGATTATTTTTACTCTTCTCTGCTTGTTTTTGTTACTTAGATTCTGCTAAGGTTGTTAAACTTGCTCGCGAACATCACGTTTCAGTACAAAGAAGTGTGCGTCTTCACTGCGAAGCCGAAGGAAATCCTCCGCCTGCTTACACGTGGTTCCCTTGTGATTCACAGACCCAAGTATGTCATGAGAGCACACTTACTGTTTCCAACGCTCTTAACTACGCCGTGTACTCTTGCAATGTGGCAAATGTTTTGGGCAATGATACAAGAGAGACCAAAGTTGTTGATTGTTGCTTTTGATTAAGCGATGCTAACTTAGAGTTATGAGGAATTTTTACATAGCTTCCTTTATGAAAATTTAATAACAACTTCGCAGATCTCCTTTGGTATAACAAACGATCACTGAATGCAACTTATTCCTAAATGTATTTAAACCTGATCATCACCTGCAAATAATTATATATATTCAAGGAAAGTTTAATCATACTCGGCCAAGCACTGGAATAGCTAATATTATGAAATGATTAAGATTTCAGGGGGTCATAATCAGTCATATCTTTCTTTGTGGAAACCCATAAGTCATCATGCTAGCCATACCATGCTGACGAGGCTCAGCAAGACTGAAATAGCTGACATAGTTGTTAACTCGGTGTCTTAATTTTCCCGCTTATTTTCTTTGAAAAAGACCTCACTTGACTTCCATTGTTGCCGCTGTGTCGCCTCCAGTAGCATAACACAGCTTTAAACTAATGTTGCTTGTTTGTTTTATCAAATAGTTATAGCAGGCAATGTGATAAATGTGACACTTTATCTGAATCCGTGTTGTGGAAGAACCTCGAACAAAAGGTAACTATTAGGCATGTGACACCACCACACACGTAAATAGATACCTTTATTCAGCAGAACGGTGATGATGTACATATGGGGTTCGCACTGTATAATTTTGCTATCGTTTCTTGTAGATTGAGGACCTATTTAAAAATGAAGGATACAGGAGCACAGAATTAACAAATTACAGGTATGTAGGCGAAATGAATTATTACCTGGGTAATCTGTCCTTTTTATGTATTTAGAAAGATGTTGCTGTGGACTTACTGTGACTCAGGCAAAAACATGATGTATTACAATAGCTGGAATTCCTACCCTACTCTTTACGAAATGTCTGCAGGTTATTTTTCAGTCCTCTGTTGAACTTATTACATTGAGGATGCACGAGAAAGGGGCCTAAGGTTTGCAGCCAGTTACTCTGAGATACTAGAAAGTCTTAAGGATTTACAGCTGTTCTTATAAGTAGACCTGTTTTTAAATTCTTGTTTTTGTTCTGATCCTCCAAGGTGTGGTAGTGTGATTGTTGATTTGGCCTTGAAGTTCAATTCCTCTGTTAAAGAAGAGAAGGTGCTTTCAATGCTAAAAGATTCTTCAGAGAATGGAGGGCTGAAAGAGTTGGGTGTAAAAGCTTCAGAAATAGTAGGTTGGCGACCCGGAAGGCCAACTGAAGGACCCAACAGCTCAACGTATGGCACAAAATCTACTGAAAATGCATGTAAGTAGGAATGAAAAGCGAGGATATCACTAGGACCAGTCCAGGACATTATTAGTTGCTGTAAGATGTGGTGTGTTATAATTTTTTTAATCACCTTTTAAAGTTGATAACTTACAAGTATAGATAAATCGATGCCACTATTGTCTCCGGAGGGGAATCGATTCGTTGGTAAGGCAAGCTCCTGACGTAATTATATTTGCTAGGATATTCCGAAGTGTGGCCAACAATATCAATTTTAAAAAACACTACATGATGGACGATTTTTGTTTTCTTCTGTCAGATATAGTAATGTTAAAAGTAGAAAACATGAAAAACTGCTGAAAGCTTTGGCTACTTAACCTTTTTCAGCATTGTGATTTGCGACTCGTGACTCTTTACATTCGCTAGCCAGTGAATTTAAACTTGTTTGTGCTTGCATTAAATTGAATGCCTCAGCTTTACATTAGTTACATTTACATTACTTCCTTTCCTCAGCATCCGCTGTACCTTCCGAACTCCTTGCTCAGAGCGGGGATAACCAAGGTCTTAAGAATTAGATGATTGTTGTTATAGCTGGTGTTTCTGGTCTTGTCCTCCTCTTTGTCGTTATATTCTTACTTTGTTGGATCAGTAAAACTCAGAAGAAGAAGAAGAAGGGCTCCGGAGGTAAGAAAATCACGCTATAAGTATTACCATTAGTGTAACACTGACACCACTATCGTTTCATCTTCCGCGATTTGGAAGCATTTTTAATTATGGTATTTTTTTTTATTTTTATCCCCCCCCCCCTACCCCGCGGGGCGAGAAGGTTCATGTAAAAGTAAAAGCCGCTACCAAAGCTGTTTTCCTCGACTTTGAACATACATGTCCAATGTTGTTGTGTAAATCAAGTTGGTGTCGATTACATCAAAAGCTAAGAGAAACGCGACTTAAGTTTGTGCCTGGTATTCTCTTTACTTTGGGTGACAATACGAGAGATGGTTTCCCTTTGCTGATACTCAACGACCACGTGAGCTTCATGCTAATTACTTTCAGACCTCTTTTTTATTATGAATAATTTCTTCGAGTTTACGATGTAACATAGTTTAATCTGATGATAGTAACGGGCATGTCATATTAACAAATACTTATACATTTCTTTTTGCTTTCTTTCAAGATGAAGCCGTTGACATGTCGACTACTTCGAGGTAAATTTTACTTTTTTCTGTTGTGATACTTTTCATGCGAAAGAGCGCTGTCAAATCTGCTTTCGCTTTTTACAGGTAAAGTAAAATTGGTTACCGGGTTTGATCGACTAGTTTTATTAATTCACCAACAGACGCACCAAATTGCGGTAATTACAACGTTTGGCTCGCAATCAACAACTAATTACGTTTGTGTAGCTCCAAATAAGCGATCAAACGGATCACTAAGAGATGAAAAGTACGGCCAGGTCGCTTAGCTAGAGTGACATTGGCGGCGTTAAAGGGTAAATTTCCCACTTTCAAAGGCGAATTTCATTTGGTGAGGAGGATCTCATGCTGATAAGAACACTCTTGAGGTTACTTTGTTATACATCATTTACTTCATACAAATTGACGTTGGCGGAAGGCAATGTTTGATATCTGTGATTGTAGCTATTTGATACTGGAGAGAGCCTTTTTGTTGGAGTCAAACACATTCTCCAGTTTTTGTGATTCGCTTTATTCATTCGTCCGTTTCTTTTTTCTTTTTTTGTTTAGGTATGTAAAGAATGGCCCCCACCATTCTGACAAGCCTAGCTCTCGCAGGGAATCTATTGAAGATGATCCATTCATTGCTGCGTCCACTTATTCCCAGAATTCAGTCGATAGAAGGGACAGGAAGAGAGATTCCAGTGTCAACTATGGATACCAACCAGACGGTAGAGAACTTAGGCTTAAGCCAACATTCTTGATCCATATGATGCCTTATAAGGCTAACCGTACAGAGTTTTCTTGATAACGTTGAATGTGGCTGTAATTAATGTTAAGTGTTTTCATAGGAACATAACTCAGATCGCAGCCATAGTTTATTCCAGTTCCTGAAGCGTGAAGTTAGCCGGTTTGTTGGCTGCTTTCTGTGGATGGGATGTTAGCTCGTTGAAGTTATCCCCTTTACCCAATATTTCGTCTGGTTTCTCTGACTATTCACCGGTTATCCTGTGTTGTTATGTAGACAACTGCCTGGAGAGGGGTACCGCGTGAAGTAAGTGTCTTACCTTAAAATACAACACATTGGCACAGACCATACTTTGAACCCCAACCTGTTGATTCTCTAGGATTTTTTTTAAGCGTTACTAACGTGCCTAATGTAAACGGAAAAATTGGTATGCCTGATCAACCATTCGCGTAAACAGACGGCTCTTGTTGCAGCCATCTCGACACTATATTTCTTTTCTTTCCTTCCCACGAGGTTGTCAATTTAGAAAATAGGTTAAAATTCTTTATGTACAAATAATGCATCATTGTGCAAATACTCTTTTACAGTCGAATCTGGTTGTTGCTAAATATCAAATTCGCAAGCAGTTATAAATTTCTCTGTTTTCTTTCTCCCCCTCCCCCCTCCCCACCATCTTTTTGTCTATCTTAGATTCAGATCAACCACAAGGTGAATGCTGCTAAAATCAGGCTCCCGTCTCCCCAAAAATGACCGTCTTACGCAAAGTACGGAGAGATTGATGTGACCTCCACATATTTAGCGAAAGGACCACAGAGAGATTGCAGTCCACTTCTCTCCTACCACAGACCACCCTCTTATGAGGAAGCCTCGAAACAGAAAGATCGAATAATGATGACTGAACCAAGGCCGAGTACATCCACAGGCGGCAGGCAGAAGCGACGGAAAAGTCCCCCGGAAGACAGGTTTCTGTATCACCATGTACTACATTCACGTACTCTCTATAAGTACCTCTATTCAACTCTCTCCTCTAAGGCCACTCAATTCTTTTGCGTCGCAGTGAATGGCTTCTTTCTTCCGAGCTTTGCTTTGCAGTGCTTTGTTATGCTTTGCTGTGTTCTGTTGTGTTTGCTCAGGTCAGCTGTACTCCGCTTTTTCATGCTCTCTTGTGATGTGCTCCACAGGGCTGTGGTAGGCTGTAGCTACGTAAGCCAACCTGCTATCACCGAGACTCCCATCAATTTTAGAACATACCATCCCAATGATCTTCCAATTTTCCTTCACAGACGTTAGGACAACGTCTATCATCTCTTGGAATCCCTAATGCATATGTCGGATTATGATTGTCATATTGTACACAGGGCAGAAGAAGCCAGTGTAGCACCAAGTGAAATGAGGTCTAATCAAGACGGACGTAGAAGTGACAAAGAGAAAGGACCTCTTGATCCAACGGCGATATATGCCATGCCAGACAAGAAAAAGAAGTTGGATTAACAAAGTCCTGCATCCCTTGAATCGGTTTTTGGTAAGATGAATTGAAACTAAAAAAAAGAATAAGATTAAATTGAAAATTACACATTTTAATAGTGCTGGAAGGAGAGCCTACTACTCAAAGGTGTATGGCAGACGTCTTCTCGAATGCATCAAACATTTCCCTCTGCCTGGTGTTACTTATTTTACCCACTTTTTACTTGAGTCGTCTTACTTACAAATCTTCCTTAAAGAATTTAAGATGTTCATGATCGTTTCCACCTACTCTTTTTCGTCGCTAGACCCTTTCAAAGCGAAGGACAAATCTGCTAAAGGACCAATTCTACATAATCCTGGCAACTTGGATCTTGATGGCCCCGCTAATGCATCTACAAGTGAGGGGCCAAGAAACTTAATAATCCCTATTGAAATGTTACCTAGCAACAGCCAAACGCCCCAAAAAGATGATACATGAGTCGTCTTACTTACAAATCTTCCTTAAAGAATTTAAGATGTTCATGATCGTTTCCACCTACTCTTTTTCGTCGCTGGACCCTTTCAAAGCGAAGGACAAATCTGCTAAAGGACCAATTCTACATAATCCTGGCAACTTGGATCTTGATGGCCCCGCTAATGCATCTACAAGTGAGGGGCCAAGAAACTTAATAATCCCCATTGAAATGTTACCTAGCAACCGCCAAACGCCCCAAAAAGATGATACAGGTAGGTAACCAAGTGTTAAATCTACGGGGTCGACTAAAGTACCAAAAAAAAAAAGGGAGAGAAGTTCGAGAGTTTATTTCCTGCGTTAAGAAATATCTTATGATAACCTCGAGCTGTGGTGTTATAACTTAAAAAATCTTTTCCATGGCTTATCTGTTCTTTTCCGGAGCCTTCCGTGGTCGCGTGAGGGCTCTTGACCAATAAGGGTCAGTGTTATAAAGACGTCGTTTGATATCATGGCCACATATGATACAAAAGTGAAATATTTCCATTAAGGAACGATCCACATTTGCAGTCATACTTCCGACTTTGCAACTACGAAGACACAGTGTGTGATAACTAAGTGTTATTGTTCTTCCTTCAGCCTTGACAACTGAAAAGTTTACTTACATCTAGTGTTATTTCCACGCAGAAAATGGAAAATCAGAGCCTTCATCACCTCTTTATTTCACTATGGAAAAACGTCCACGGAACAGTTCAAGCGGCGTTGCACGTTATCAGCCGGAGCGGAGTAAACTGGTAAAGTTCATGGAATAAGATAGATTTTTCATTTCCGAAGTTAACTTTTACTCCACATACTCCAAAATAATCATGTACTTTGAAGTTGATCAAACACAGAGACGATTCTCTCGTAAAAAAACATAGCTTTGACATACGATGCTCTGATGTTTATGATATACCAGCCAAACAAGAGGAGAAAATTATATTTCTTTCCCTCACCTACTGCGCAAAATCTTGCGTTTAGCCGGCAAGCTTCTCTATTCTATGGACCAGAGGAGACATACTTACCTTTGTAAAACTCAGTTTATGAAACATGGAGTGTATGAAGGAAAGGAACACCAATTTTCTTTTCTGCGCGTATCATAAGAAATAGTTGGGGATGATAATTGTTCAGCCCTGTTATGCTCGTGAAGGGAAAGGACTCTTGTAATGTTTTCAAGGTTTCTTTAGATCCTATCACCTAAATTGTATCCGAACAATTGGGTCCTAACACTCCAGGTCAAAGTGGCCCTAGTTCTTTTGTTGTGGTAGGATATCGCATAAATTTGCTTAATTATTGTTGACATGTTTTTGTCATAAATTCCGATCTTTTTCCCTTTAATCCTGCAGCCATATAGGAATGTCCGTGGAGAACTTGTGAGACCAGATACACTATCACGAACCTCACAAGACTCGCACGACATAAAACCAGAAACACTTCCAAACCAGTCGAAGCCCGTTGGGTCCCAGACTCACAGTAGGGAATCATCGGATGCAAGCTACATCACCTACGTGGTCTGATGGCGCGGTAATCTGTCTTCCAAACAGGTCACTATTGTTGCTTTGAACCCAAGACATCTAATTAACGTCCATACAAGTATCAATAACAGCTATGAGCCCATCTGAGTACATAGCTTTCAGAGCTGCAGAATGACTTCATTCAAGGAAGACAACTTACGTCCACATGGCCAGCCTTAAATTCCATCTTTGGGCCTGATTCACTCAACTGGCCCGATCTAACGAAAATCTAACGAAATTCAAAAAAGACTTAACCGTGAACTTAGACATACTTATGTACAATAAAGTTACCGAAGGAATATTGCTTGCCATTATATCCCAAGTAAGTGAAAGGTGAATTTCGTAGAATGGCTAAGTGCTGGTTTCCGCTAAACATTCCGAGTGTTTGCCGTTACACAGACGAATACAGCGGCTTTGGGGTATCACATTTTTCAACCAAAGGGATACAATGCATTTTGACCTTTCCGTAAGTTAAAATGTTTATATTTGTGAAAAATGCTTTGTGTCGCACATAAATGCGTAACAACATCAAAATATATAATTAAGAAGGAAACCAACAACTGAAGAAAAGGTAACATTCATTAAGTACATCAATTTGTGGAATTTTCGGTTTCATTAATAGAGACATTCTTATTCTCTCGGTAGTCAATATTAAAAAGAAGCTTCCAAATATTGTTTCTCAAACAATTTGACTCGAATTTTGGTGCACTGTATGTTAATAGTAGAGAGGTGATTAACTTAATTTTGTAGAGCGTTTCTTTCTTTCGGCAGTTAGTATCAGGCTTTGGAAGCCGTGGTGAATAGGAGGCAATTGAGAGAAATTCGACCAAGGGTTTTTTTTTTGTTATTCGTTTTGCTACTATTAAATAGAAGCAGTATGTATTGAAACAGTTTATTCACCTCCATGTTGTTATGATGATGGATATATTCTTCACTTTTGGTATATATAATTTTGATAGGAAGCGTTCGAAGGCAAATGCCTCAGTAATATTCTGTCAGCTGCTGCTGAAGTTTGTTTCAATCACACTATCAGTTAGAGATAACCATAGGTAATTTTGTGAGATTATATTGCTTAATAGGAAATCTTTATTTTTGATCAGTTCGAAAAAGGGCTATAAATTTTAATAATAGAAATAAAATATTCAGAGTAAAAATGTTGTCACCAGACTCTTATTAATAACCCCTTAATCCTCTAGAAAAGTGATGTGAGGGAGGGACGTAGTTCAGTATGATTAAGTCATTTGTTTATCTCTATTATTTCGATGCAATTTGAATTCAAAATATGAAGTTATTTGGGTTCAAGTTATCGCGATAAGTTTCCTGATTGCGACAGCCTTGTTGTGTTCTACGTAGAGAATGCATACCATTCATGTTCTTTTTCAGTCTCGCGGGTTTCATGATATTCCGCAGGTATCGATCCGAAGCCAGACCGTTTCAGCTTATCGACGCCATTTTGGACCACCTCAATTTCATGCAAGAGCTTTAGATCACGCTGGCTAAGTGAGATTCCGCAGGTTGACTCGCTTCGGTTTTGACGCCTTGTAGTAAAATTGCACCCATTTGATCAAACGACTAGATTCATTACAAAATTGGGCTTTGAGCCATGCCACAATTTGCTGTACGAAAGTATAATTCCAAATAAAACAGTAAGGAATCATATTTTGGCTCACGCAGTTAGAGATTTATCCGGTTGATTGGAAGCATTAAGTAAGTTGTTGTTCTTCGTTAGATGCTTATAAAAGTCTTAAGGTTAGTGTTCTGACATCAAATGTTTAATGTTTTAAAGTCAGTTGGCCAGCATGCCAACTCTCCTACGGATAGTGAATACCAATGTGTGTACGTAAGAGTGAGTGGTCAGTGAGAATCAGAGAAAGAAAGTGATCGTTCAGAGTTATGAGTCGGTCGACCAGAGTTTCCCGAAGTAAGTAAGAGATAATGGGATTTTATTAGTAAGTCAGATTCAGTGATTAAAGAAAAGAGTGAAGCAAAATTAATGTAATTAGAATGGTATAGGGTATAGAGATTAAAAAGCCTGAAAATGACAGGTCGCGAGCTTTCGTTGCCTTTGCTAGGCGTGGTGCGCTCTGGAGGCAGTTTCTCTCGTCAGTGCGACCCAAAACAAGTTAATAGTAAGGGAAATGGAAAAAGGAAACTTTTGGATATTTATACAAAATCTTATATAAGTATTTCTTTAATAAACGACTGGACAGTGCCGGGCTAACGCAAGGTACTATGACAAGTATGTATACGTAATTGGAGATTCTGCGTGTCTCAAATGTACAGAACGGAATTTAAAATCTCTGATCATGAGAAGATGGGCAAATACTGAGAGAAGAAGCATGCTAGAAACTGTCTTCCCCTTTTTTCTTTTGATTTTTTATTTTTCTGCCTAAAGTCTCACTTTTTCTCCTCTAACATTCCACCCTGACTTTGACCTTTTTGGACAAAGTTTACTGTTTTCAATAAATTGACATGAATGGTTTTTCGGGAACAGTGATATGCCTAATTTAAGAGCCGCGCATCGGAATTTTGGAGGAGTGATATTGGATAATTGTTGGGCGAGATTCAAAGCTAAAATAATATTTTTCCACACGGGATCCGAAGGTTTTAAGATCTAGGAAAGCCCTACTTAGTGTAAAAGAAAAATCAAGCTGTTACCTTAAACGAGCGGAAGTGGCCGTTTCAGTTCAGTTTTCACATCTTGTGAGAGGTCTTGTCGAACTCACATATACGTGGAAGGTTCACCAGTTTGCAACACATTAGCCATAACAGATCGTTCTTAATAAGTCCCGCGATCGAAGGAAATAAATCGGACTCCTTAAGCCTTCCTTAAGTATAATGCGTAGCATAGCATAACACAAAACTTTTGAGTTGAATCACCAAACCGAGGTCGACCCCAGGGTTCGTGCCGCAGAGACAAATATACGTCTGCATGGTTATTTTCTTGTTGAAAGCAGCCGTAAACAGACATTCGGTAATCTAAAACCTATGGAGTTCCTGACAGGAATATGCAACTTTTATCTGCTGCTACATATCCTTGTTCGGGAAGTATGTAAGTATCTTTAACTTGTGAAGCAAATACGTACACGTAATGTGAGACCCTATTCAGAAGCCAAACTCACAAATTCAAAATGTAAGCCTTCTGACTCAGAAGCGAAACTTAGGAAGCGTTCCCCGATCGATCCTCATACATTTCTTTAATAACTGGATCAAATTATATGATAATTTGTGAATTTACTTCGACACATGAAAAGTTCAGAGTTTTAACTAGGCATGGCCTGCTTCAGATTTTACTTCGTAGGAAGTAACAAAAACATTCTCAGATACTTGTTCGTTATGTTTCACATTTTTTGCAAGAAACACTATCTTATCCCGTGGAGTTTTTCTCAAATATATCACGCGACAATTACAAGTATACGAGGTAAAGTAGGGAAATCGTTTTATTTTACTGTGGCAAAGTATATGCGAAATAACAATTAGAGCCTATTTATATCTTTTAACTCAACATGTTATTCAGAATAAATGATTTGCCACAACAGGAATTTTTGATTATCTCACATAATCAATTGAGGCCATTCACAGAAATCTGCAGTTCATAGAAATCTATTGATAGTCACGAAACGTCTCACAAGAGTTTCAAACATCAATCGAGTTTTGACGCACTATTTCTTTTTAGTTAGTTTTGCTTGGCGCTTGGCTGATAGAGCTTCATCTATGGCTGAAGTATCAAATGGAATTTAATCTTTTCAACCAATGGCTGAAAAGATTAAATTCCATTTCCAAGAGTTTTGTGACTAAAACTCTCAATTTGGGAAGAACATTCCTAATTCAATTGGGAAGCTTTGTTTGTATTAGTGATTTCAAAGGGCACTTCGTTCATAAAATATTTTAATCGTGTAGCTTTGGTTTATACCCGATATACTAGCACTCTGATTAGCTAAGAGTGAGATCAGAATTACGGATTATTTAAATTAGGAAGAGCTCTGTGGTGGCCATCTTCTGTTTTCTAAAATCTGAGCATAGGAAAATGATGAAGCTCAATTAAGAGTCTGAGAGAGTAAATTTAATTACAGACAGTTATGAATTTTGAGGAACAGAGTAGATGCAGTTTTGAATTTCCTTAGAGATTGTACTGGTCATGGATGAAGTGATTAAATAAGGATATATTCAATCTCACATTTAATACTTGCATTGGAAAGCTGTTAGGGACAAGATAACACTTCAACGGGATTATTGCTTAACATTTTGTGATTAAGTTGTTTTTGACTTACCAGCCGGTAACCTGTGTGAGCACAAGTAAAGAACAATCAAAGTTTGCCTTGTCATATACAGGCCCCAATCGCTAGCTTTATCTTGGATGTATTGTTCAGCAGTTATTTGTTTGTTTTAGATTCAAGAGCATCTCACTAAGTCTTCTTCAAACTTGCAGTGAATTTATATCAAGTCCATTTTGTATTTGTCTTGTATTATAAACTCATTATGCAGTGTGCTTTTGTAACAATAGCGATAAATTGAGCAAATGAGGAGTAATTGGACAAATAATTATATATAAGTTGATTTGAAAGTGTATGGCTAGTTTGATTTCAAAAGTGTCTTGCTCCAACGTAAACCAAACAGGAGTGATTTATTCATGATGAAAGTTATTATCATACAGAAGAGTTGAGCAATGAAAGCAATGGATCACTTGCCATTGGCTTTGGTGACCAGTGAACTGCTTATAACAAAATGTAATTTATTTTTCATGCCTGTACAACTGCTGCTTGGGAAGCTAACTTAGTGAAACCATTTCATCAAAGACTTGAAACAAGGACCGTGCAGCTGTTACAAATGCTCTAATGATATTAACTGATTAAGTTTGGAACCTGATTAAAGTAAATCCAGGATTGCAAACCATTCAATATTTGGGTAATTCTTGTAGGCTGTGTAGAAATTGATCATTATGCTACATCAGTGCAAGATTCATTCAAGTCTGCTTTAGCAAGTTTTATTTGCTCTGTGTAAAGCTAAAGGGACATATTTTAATCATCCACTATTCTTGCATAAATGGTTGGAATGTTGCACAGGGTACCCATTCCATTCCACCAATTCATTCCAAAATGACTGGCTTTCTTTTTTGGAATATTTTGATAAGCAAGCCTCCTTCATCTTCCCAATATACTTGCTGATAATAAAATTAAATGAGTTTAGTGTAGTTGTAGTAAAGGGAATTTCTCCTGGTACAACTTTTAAAATAACATGTTGAGAATGTTATTTAATTAACAGTGTCTTTATTGAAATAAAAAGCACATGAAAAGTTTTAGAGAGTCCTTTGTTGTTAGGAGGTTAGAGGTTGTTTTCACCTATGTAAGCAAAAACCCTTACAAATCTTTCAAGCTCTGTAAACTTCCTGAGTGCTTCTTATTTTCTTTTCTTCTTATCATGTCCAAGATCTTGTTAATAATTCTCTTTCTGTCTGCTATACAATTCTAGGATGCTATTTCTGAGAACTTGGTGTTGAATCAAGTAATAACACCCTAATTGATATTTTTCTTTATTCTCATCACTTTTCTATTTGATATTGTTTTGATGCTGTAAGGAGAAATTCTGTCATGGTCACTCATGGGAGTTAATAGGTTCAAATAGAAGAATGCTTCAACTCTTAGAAGTTGTCATCTCCACCGTTGAAATGGAGAAAAAAACTTGATTAAAATTCTCTACCTACCATGTTTTGAGATTTGAGTTCCTAATTGAGTAAAGCAAGCTGGGAATTTCTCTTGATGGTCTTTTATCCTTATACAGTCATTAAAACTTCCCTAGGTAAAAATATAAGGTGGGATCCCGCCAATCCCACCTGGGATCCCAGGTGTGTCCCGGGTGGGATCCCGCCTTTTTCAGGTGGGATCCCGGGTGGGATTATGGAACATCCCGCATGGGATCCCACCTGGGATTATGGAACATCCCGCATGGGATCCCACCTGGGATTATGGAACATCCCGCATGGGATCCCACTTGGGATTATGGAACATCCCACATGGGATCCCACCTGGGATTATGGAACATCCCGCATGGGATCCCACCTGGGATTATGGAACATCCCGCATGGGATCCCACCTGGGATTATGGAACATCCCGCATGGGATCCCACCTGGGATTATGGAACATCCCGCATGGGATCCCACCTGGGATTATGGAACATCCCACATGGGATCCCACATGGGATTATGGAACATCCCGCATGGGATCCCACCTGGGATTATGGAACATCCTGCATGGGATCCCACCTGGGATTATGGAACATCCCCCATGGGATCCCACATGGGATCCCGCCTTAAATTCCTAATAGCATCCTACCTGGGAAAGCACATCCTGGGCAGGATTAAACCTAGAATCCCACCAATCCCTCTTGGGATCCTGCCTCAAATTTCAGATATTTTCCCACCTGGGAAATCATATCCCAGGCGGGATTGCATCTGGGATCCTGCCAATCCCAGTTTAGACCCTGGATAAAATTACAGATGGCTTCCCACTTTCAGAAAAATCCTTTGAGGGATCCTGTTTATCACTGGAGAGCACAGATTTATGAAATAGGATATCTTATCAATTCCTTTTGTAACCTAATCCGTAAAATTAAGAGGATAAAATTTTCTAGGTGAGCTATGGACCCTATCAATCCACTGAGGGTCCAAAACTTTCCAACTAGCTATAGAACATACTGACACCTCCAATGGGATCCCATTGTCTTACCAAGCTGTTGATCATAAATGATTCAAACAGTACATGAATACACAGACTATATGTGATAAAGATCTCATAATTTATTTGCAATGAACCAGCATGTGTTTGATATCTTTCATTAACAAATTTCTTAACCGAACATTGTTAAATAATAACAGCACAACTCAGCATATTACTTTTTCTTCATCATTTAAGCAGACCATCTACAGTGTAATAAGGCTCAACGTTTAAAAAATTGGCTGTTGTGTATCATAGAATAGAAGAAAGACAAAACCTCAATAATTCATGTTATCAAAATTTTGACAAAGGTACTGATTGAAAGTCTGCTCTCTCTTCAGTCGAATTTTTCAAAGCAAAGCAAGGTCAGAATGTTCCCAAATGTGACTAAAGTAATCTTGAAACCTTACTCATAGATTTATTTCGTTGTAAAGTGTAAGCTTAGGAAACTGCAGCATGCAAGTGACCAATTCGATTCTCAGAATTATTTGAGTTTCAGTTCGCTGAGCGTTAGATAAGCTTGATTCAAGCCGTTATTTCTATTCTTTGATAAGATTTTGATCACGTAACGAATATGGCAATTTGTACTCACCACAAACTTCTAAAAATTCTAGCTTTAAATGGCCGCTCGATCGTTGTTTGAACCAGTCGATATGTCAACTGTTAATAATTATTGTCCCTTCTTTTAATTCCACGGCGCCAACGACTTTCTTTTCATTTAAAACACTCACGCTGTTCTCGTTTTCCCATTGAACCACAATAAAACTCATCTTTAGAAGTGTTATATTAAGCAAAACAGTTGAGAAAAGAAACAACTTCAAGCAAGAGCGGTTAACCGACGAAAAGTACATTCAAAGATGAGCGCCAAGTGGAGTTTTCTTTGTTTCCGATCACGGGCATGATCACGTGAACCTTTTAGCAAAGAGAATCCGCTGGCTTGACCCATTGCAGTCTCAAGAGAAGCGCGCAACATTATTCTGTCTCTTCTGACCGTTTCTTCTTTCATGTTTTGATGATGACATAAATAATGATGTGAATTCACTCTATGTAGAAATATTCGACAAGAATCAAACAAGAATGCACGATTTGTGGCCGAAAGTTTTCGAGGAAAGAAAGACTCGAAACCCACTTGAGTTATGTTCACGGCCAAGGTGAGAAACAACACAAGCCAATCACATTAGGAAGTATAAGAGATACCTAGATGATCCCAGTGTACCAGTACCCAAATCAACAAGGCTTGACCACAACAAGCGTTCAGCAACACGTTCCAATACAGCTAACCATCTCGATTCCTCAGTCGGTCTTTCCACTGAACTAGCAGTTGTGCCAACAGAGTCAAGTGCGTCTCATAACGGAGAAAACATTTGCACGAGAGACAAAAGCCATGCCAGATATCAGCAATCCTACATGCCTATCATAGCAATCCACGGAAATTGCTATTGTTGTGTCAAGCACACCTGGTAAATTTAGCTGATCATTGCAATAAGAATATAAAAATTGTCAAGTGTGTCAAGGCTTAAGGACAGATTTGAACCCCAGTATTAAAACTCTTCTATCTGGTAATTCAAAACTATTTTAGGATGCTGTAATAATCCCATGATTATCTGACCTTTGTATTAATAAAAATTCATTGTTTTACACAGTCAGCCCAACAATTACACTCAAAACTACAACAGCTCCAACTTTGGATGAAGGTGCTACAAGAACATTGTTTTGTGTGGCCAGTGGCAACCCCAGACCCACTTACAGGTGGTATAAAGATAATGTAAAGATTCTGGAAGATCAAAATAACTCCAACTACACAATAACATCAGCCAGCAGGAATGATGCAGGGACGTACAGATGTGAAGCTGTTATTAATGTTCCAACTCTTGGCCAGTACAGTGACTATTACACTGTTCAGGTTACAGTTAGATGTAAGTCAACTCACAATACCTACTTCTATTCTTTTCCCTGGATAGTTCATTTATACATTTTGTTTACCATTATGGTACAATGTTAAATAGATGGTTAGTAAGATGAAGGAAATAACCAGCTTAAAAAATTCGACAAAATGGCCCACAAAGAAAGGTATGATAAACTGCTAAGAAAAAGTTAGTTGTTTTGGGAAACTCACTTACAGTGCATTTACAGGTACATCCAGTCACAACTGAGCACAACAGCTTATAGGTGATGCAATTACACAATCTCCCTCATGGCCTGAAAAAGAGAAGTAGTTAATGCAGTTCAAACATCGGGATCCACAACTGCAGTGACCACATTGTGAGACAAACAATCACATGTGTACTCCTCTTTTGAAAGTTACGCTTTTAATTTTAAGCTCGTGTGAAAAACATCTTTGTAATGTTCTTGCACAGTGGGTGTGCACCGAAAACATTATTTGATCACAAGGCCAAAGCAAACTTCGGCTACATTTTATGAGTTCTTTACCTGTTATGGGTTGCCGATAAATGTGCATAGCTGTGTTTAAATCAGTTTAACTCTTATTAATTCAACTAAATAGTTAAGAAAAGCATTGCTTCTGTAAAATGTATGTCATCTATTTAAGATTTAGTTACTGTTCCTGTTCCAGTCCCATCTGAACCAGCAAAGGTGAATAAGGATGCTATTTATGGCTCAGTTATTGGGGTCCTTGCCTTTATGTTCGCTGTTGCTATTATTTTGATTGCCTGGAAACGCCGCAAACGTAAGTAGAGTGAATTACTATATTCAGTTGGTAAATGCTCCTATTCGAGATGCTACTGACCTAGATTTATGATTTGTGGACGATTGACAAAAGGAGATTCATTTGAAGAATAGAATGGAAACTGAGAAGGGGGAAGGAAAGAGGAAACAGCAAGGAGTCGGAGAACTTGCAGCATAGTAGAGTCATTTCGCAAAGTCTTTCAATTCATGACACCAATTGACGGCGTTACTCAAGACCTTGGGCAAAGTTTTTCCCAATACGGACAGATCTAGGCTGCTGAATAACATTTTAATTTTTTTTCCCTTAAACTTAAGGAAAATTCTCTCCAAAAGAACCCGAATGATTTAGGGCTGTAATTACAGCAGGATCCTCCATAAACTGAACAATTCTTGAGCGAGTAGATGGTAGTTAAAATAGAGGCGATGCAAATTAAAGAGAGACGCTTCACCGAAACATTTTCATTTGTGTAATGATAAAGGTGATTTAAAAGGCCTCCCAACGAACTTTGAAACGTTATTTTTACAACTATCTGTCTCAATCTGACACCTGTCATTTAGAGAGCGCGCAAGAAAAAAAAAAGGGCATATACAGTTTTGAAAAAACAACCAAAGTAGTTTTGCAAGGACTGTCGCCACAATGATTTCTTCAAAAACAGTCAATGATCTTACGGAAATTATTATTCACTCTCTTCGACGATTCATTCATGTACGAAGATTTGCCTCTGTTAATCAAGTAAACGGTGAGGAAAGTAATTGTAAGTGAATTCAAGTTTTTTATTTGGAAATTGTGAGAGCTTGTTCGTTTGTTTACTTCAATAGCGTGTGTAAATCTGGTCTTTCCACCACAAAAACTAAATTCGAATTAGACACTTCAACGAGACACAAGGAGACTCAATGCGGCTTTTTCTCATTGAATTCCTTCACTTCCTGTTGTGCAATTTACGGTACAAATGTCCAAATTGAACGGACTTGAAAAGACTCACCGAGAGCGCATATTTGTTGTAGAACTGAAAACTTTGCACGCCCTTTTACTTCGAACAGATTGTTTGAGAGAATTCAGATATTAAATGAATGAATGTTCCATCGATTAATTCAATTGTAACCAAATTCCTCACGTTTTAACTTTCTAGTACTTTTTGTGGGGGGTTGAAATTAATTACAGACGGGCTTTAGGCCGCTTGTCAACCAGTTTAATGACTCTTTAGCTTATACAAGTTAATTTCGAAACCAATAGCTTTCTGTCAGCCAAAGCGATTTGAGGGAGAGAAAAGAGAGGATTAATGAGTTAATTATCGGCTTGAGGTAGTGACCAACGTCTTTGCTTAAAAATACTGCCCGGCCGGTAAAACAAAATAGATTTATGAAAAATGGCAACGAAGGTAACAATGAACTCAGCGACTCACGAGAGCATTACCGTTGCCCGTGGGTAGAGATAGGAAAATACGGAATGCGCAAAGAACCAATCACATTGCCGGATTCCTTACCGTGCCCTCTGAGGATAAGATAAATAACATTATTATTACTGGAAGTACTTTCAAGAGAAGGAGCTGGAAATACATGACGCTTAATTGATGAGGACTTTTTGAATTTTAAAATAATTTAAGCAGCTTTTTTCTCTTTATCTGATGTCATCTCTTTCCTTCTTTCCACACTTCTTAGGTGAAAAAGATAATCGGTAAGATGTCATTACAATAAAAAGTTAATATAGCATCTGTAGATCAGATTGGTATTGTTCGTATTTGTAGTTCTGAGAAAAGTTTCGCAGTTGTTCTCAAAATGTGTCAGTTGATATTTCCAAAAAAAACAAAAAAACAAAAAAACAAAAAAACAAGAAAGGGATTTTGTTGGTGAGGTTTAGTCAGTTTCCTAGAAACTATTAGTTTTGATTTTCTTTTAGACCTAATACAGTCCTTAAGGAATCACGTACGCCTCACGTTGTAAGTATGGGGTGCATTTTTATCGAATCATCTACTTTGTGATGATCAACAAATATCTGTTTGGCAATTAAATGCTGAAAGTTAAAGCAAAGCATGCATACCTTCAATTTTTTCAAGGCCCTTGGGACTTGAATACCGTGAATCAGTTGTATAGAAATGGTGTTAAATAGGAAGTAACAAAAGGAAGATGAGTTTTTATTAGTCTATTACTTATTATACAAATTAAGTTTGGATTTCAAGGTTCATTGAAGTGCGCTTTACCAACCTTTCGCCCTTATTTCAAGATATTGCAGCTCTATTTACGAGTCAAATCTTCTTAGTACTGATTCACAAGTGCTCTCAGAAAAGGCGTTCAGTTTAGTGGATGACATCATAATATTCAAGAATTCTCTAAACTTTATCTCATTGTCATAAGAAAGGTTACGATTGCGTGTGATTCTCCTTTATTCTGGTCGCAAAACGAGTGAATTAAAATGAAAAAAAACGTACAATTCCATGGACTGGAGAATGCACCCATTAAATTTTGCATGATTCTTCCCTAAGAAATACGAGACATCTTCCTTACTCGTAGCCAATTCGTATGGGGACAAAACAGGCCAGACTAAGTGTGAATCTCTTTTCGCTGGAAAACAGAAAGAGGGAATTGAACTGGAAAGTAGCAATGGGAACCTTAGCACCGTGGTGCATCATGCTCCCGGAAATTACATGGACCTGAATGAAGTTAGACCACTGAATGACCCTGCCACGGACCCAGAGCGAAGTTATTTAGAAATAAACGAATATGCACCCCTGCACCCAGGAACGCGCTCATGGGAAGTGGAAAGAGAAAATGTAACATTTGAAAAGATTATTGGAAAAGGTGCCTTTGGTCAAGTCGCCCAGGGAAAAGCTTCAAACCTTCGAGGAAGAAAGGAGACAATTACAGTTGCCATAAAAATGCTGAAAGGTACTCTATTCATTGCCTAAAGAGCGTTTTAGTTAAGATAAGGCTTTACTGTTTCTGAATAGTCGATCTTTTCTATAGGTAACGCTACAGACATAGAGAGGAAAGATTTGCTGTCAGAGCTTGAAGTCCTGAAGAAACTCAAGCCTCATCCACACGTTATCAAGTTGCAGGGTTGTGTAACTGAATCAGGTGCAGAAAATAGAATGAAACTACCTAGTTTATGTCTCTTTGTGTCACCCTGACAACTTAAAGCCAAAATTGCTCTGAATTCATAATTTCTTGCTCTCTCACTATACCTAATCCTGTCATTGTTGATCTTAACAGTATCAGCAAAGAGCATTTGTAGCAATTGTGCACGATAAATAATTATTTTGTTTTATCGTTACGAGTTCCGGTTCACTCGATTTAAGATTATTTATCCAGTTTACCGCAGATCCTGGGTTAAATTTAGAATGCACTTAGCACAATTGCAAAGTTTTTCGTTTTCCCATTGCTGTAATTATCACTTCAAAGTGATAACGTAGCTGATGTTCTCTGTTGTTTTCTACATATATTTTTTAAAATTTTTTGCTTGTACTTATCGAATATGTCCCGGAACGTCTTGGTTGGAGAGCAAGAACGATGTAAGGTAACCGATTTTGGAATGGCAAGGGACGTATGCCAGGAAAACATCTACGAAAAGAAATCAAAGGTTTCTGATCTCGTTATCATGATATGTTGCGTGTTTGGCTAATACCGTAGTTTATTAGGATAGATATATCCTATCTCAACCTCCTCTCACCTTGTTTCTCAGTAATGTTTTACACTACATCATCGCCAGATAAACAAAAGGAAGAATCATCTGCTCTTTTTCTTCAACATTTCCTTTCCATGTTACAATAGGGAAGACTGTCAGTAAAATGGACAGCTTGCGAAGCGCTGTTATACGGACGATATACGACGAAAAGTGATGTGTAAGTGGATCTAATAAGCCGATAAACAGTTTTAAAGAGTTAAAAAAAACCGTTCAAATCTATTCATGTTAAACCTATAATTTAATTATACCTGTACGTGTCAACTTGCAATGAAGCCTGATGGCATTTTCTTTAATTAGATGGAGTTTTGGAATTGTGCTTTACGAAATCTTCACGATAGGTATGTCAGATAATTGTGTTTCAGTGTAATTTATATAGATGGCGCACTTTTTGATCGATTCCCTGTCTTCGTGTCTAACGTCTCGTCTTAGGTGGCTCTCCATATCCAAAGATTGACGGAAGAAAAATGGCAGATTTACTGACTCAGGGTTACAGGATGCCTAAACCACGACACGTGGACGATACCCTGTAAGACCATGGACCATTAATTCATTTATTTAATCATGAACTTGCTGTGAAAAGTTTAGAATTTTTTTCATTACCTCTATAGCTCTTTAGCAACGAGAATGGCCTTCCAGACCTAAACAATCAAATATCAATCTATGGACCATTACTTTCTTTGACTTCCTAGGAATAAGGTCCCAACTTTCGTGCTTAGGTAGCTCTGCAGAATGTTATGAAAAAACTTTTAGTAGAATTCGTATCACCAAAACCCAAGTTTTATTTTATTTTTTTTGGTTTTATTTAGTTACAAGATTATGCAAGACTGCTGGCAAGAGAACCCAGATGATCGCCCAATTTTTGAGAATCTTAGGAATGATTTGAAGGAAATGGAAAATCAACATCAGGTGGAATATCTACAAAATAAATTTAAGCAAGGCTTAGTCACCTTTTGATTTAGAAGTCGTTTAATAGATTCTCTTTTTTATTTTCCTTACAGAGGCTCATCAACATGCAGCATTATGACAACATCCTTCACGCAAGCATGGATTAGGCTCTTGTTCAAGAATTGTGGAAACAACTCTTATCATCATAGGCGGAAACCGTCTCTTCCACACACCCCAAACAATAGAAATTCTAAAACTAGATGTGTCCTGATGCTAAATCCAGTCCCTTTTATAATGCAGCTAACAACCAAGGGAAGTACCCTGCCCATAAAGCGACGTAAAAGTCGGAGTAAAGTGATCCGTTGTTGTTAATTACCATGTAGTTTAATTGGTATTTGGTATAGAAATCAAGGTGAACCATTATCTATTATATCAATATTTAGTCAATAGTTATTAGAATGATTTAATTAAGATAACTGCGCACTTTAAGCGTTGTTCAGCCCACTTTATTGAATGTTGCACTCGAAAATAAGGTTTTGGTTAAATGTTAGATGTTATTGCTGACACACTTTAGAAACTTTAGCTGAGGAAGCGCTGGAGAAATTATTTTCGTTATTGCATTCTGTGAGCTAATGGACATTTAAAGTTTGGAATGAGCCTGCATTTTGATATATAAGCGAGTAGCTTAAATGCGTCCTTGAATAAAAACTGCAACCACAAGCGAGCAGTGTGAATTTTCCAGTAGAATACACTTTTTGGATGCTCTTTCCTGTGCCATGTTGAGAGCTTCGTCAAGTCGAAGCCGGGTTCGGAAAGAATTTACCCAACAAATGCTGGCATAATGAATGTCGTTTCACGTCGATGTTGTGGAACTCGCTGAATTTTCGGGCATCCTCGCACTCGTTTGTCTAATCCCCGATATCCGTCATGCCACGATTGCCAAGGACGCACGAGGCGATTTTTTTAAGGAATTAGGCCGATCGCCAACATTGCCATGATTCAGCAACATAGTGATCTTCACAAAACGCAATACTAAGCTTTGATAATCTCCGATGTCCGACGTACCAGATTTTGGGGATTCACAAAAGTCACGGATTAAGTCCAATGATTTTGACCTAAGCGTGCAGCTTAATCGCATATTGAGTAACTCGGTCTCTCATTTCTCGTAATGATGAGTGCGAGCGTGTCTGAGTGTTTTTACAGATACTACAATAGTACAGGCTGTTATTTGATTGATTTTGGTCAATTTTTTTTCTGTTTTTTTTTTTTGCTTGTTTGTTTGTTTTTTTTTCTCATAGTATTTTAACATTTTTTGCATTGCATCTTGCTTTCTCCTCAAATTTCTCCATCTACAGGGAGAAATTTGAGGAGGGGGCATTGAAATTGGCTAGGAATCCACTTCCTTTATATTAGAGATAAGTGGATGATACCATCACAATACTAAGTGCACCAGCAATGGTAACAAGAATGTTATACACGGGTTTATCCGATATCGTTTCTTTACTTTTTTTTGCACTTCTTAGATGAGGGAGTTGATCGGTAAGATGACTTTGCCATAAGTAGTCTAATGTATAAGAAAATACACGCATCACATTTATTAAAAACAGAATTTCTTCATGTTTACAGCTGTCTGAAAATCTTTCCACTTTAAGAGAATTTTTCGATGTGACTGTCAACCATTTCGTCTTGATAAAAGCGTCGCCTTAAGTATAGTAGATTCGATGTTGAAACGATGCAAGAGTAACTAATTTAGGTCACATGATATCTTGTTACAAAAGGTAAGATTTACGTTCAGTGAATATCAACTCCTATGACGATTAATTGTACCTATGCTGTCCTTCAATTCCTTAGGAGCAAAAGAATCATGTTGGCCCGAAATGAAGAACGTCTACTCTGTTATAATTACGTGTAATTAATATCTGTTTGGCAATTGGTGTTTGACGTTAACCATATGTCATGCAGATAATATTTGGATACAAAGGTTTAAGTTCGCTGTGCAGGCTGTTCAAAACGACTCCCATCCAGAGTTTACTGTGTTGTATTTACAAATCAGATCACCTTGAAACTGATTCCCAAGTACGTGATTCTGGTTGAAATTTGGATGAGATTTCCTATGAAATCTCAAGCACTCTTCCTTGCCTTATTTAATCGCTTTCTATCATAAGAGAGGTCATGGTAGCCTACGAGTGGCCGTACCCTCCCCTGCGAGGTAAAACGGAAGCGAGGGACCGTCTACGAAAACCTGACACTATTTAATCTATGCAACAGTACGTAACTTGATAATATTTCTGCGAAATGGCCTACGAAACCGCTAGAAGGGAAACAAACGGACTCAGCAATGCTCCCTTCGAGATTCAGCCCGCAAAGCGTCAGCGGGATGGAATTTAAAGATCCTCATGGACCGTGGTCTCGGGCCCGTTGCTCGTGTCAGCATGGGTTGAAAATTTTACTAACAGTAAATAACAAAAGTGCCGACGTGCAGGTGCATAATGAAAGCGAGTAGCAAGCAAAATCTATTCCAAAAGCTATTGTGGTTTTATACATTTTTTAATTTACTAAAATAGAAGAACTTGAATGAAATTGAATAAATTGGAAATGGTTAAATGTGAAAGTTTACGAATAAATATGTTGCAAACAAACACACGAAAAAATCAGTAAGTTTTCCCGTAACACCCGGGTCAGTTTTACCCTACGGATGAGATATTGCTGCGATAGGAATTAAGCTCAGTAGAAGATGAACTGCAGATTCAGATCGCTGGCATTTGCACTTGGCTGTTGGATTATGACTCAATGCCTCTAATAATAACAATAATAATAATAATAATAATAATAATAATAATAACAACTTTATTTAAGGAGGGTAACACACAATAATTCAAATGATGAACTAGTGTCCCTCGATCCCAAAGTACCGTATTTAGAATTAAAATGTATTTGAGGATTATAAAACTGGTCAACAGGTCTATAAGAATGCAAGCTAAAAACTAGATAAAATAAAATATGCCGCTTGGGTTAGGTTAAATCGCCTTCAGACTAAAATACTCTACTTCATCGCAGCTCGTTAGAAAATGTCTATGAAAGGTCTTTCTGAAAAAAGCAACTGTTGTCGCCTCTTTTTTTAGGTTAATGGGTAGATGGTTCCACAGCCTTGTCGCAAATACGCTAAAGGACCTCCCTCCCTCGGTTTCGCGATTGAAACGAGGGCAGGCGAGATTTCATTTATTATAACGACCAGTTCGTGTGGGTAGGTCTGCATTAAATTTGAGTAGATCGTACATATAAGCAGGACAGCTTCCTTGTCAACGCTTAAAGACTAAAGTACTCTCAATAAACATAACTTCGTCATAGAAAGGGAGCCATGCTAATTTCTTAGAGAGTTTCACGCTGTTCGACCTTGTGACAGCTTCCAAGGTAACTCGGGAAGCGCGTTTTTGAAGCTAGAAGACCCTCATCATGTTATCACTTGAACAGTTCGATCAAACAGTTGATCCATATAACATTAGTTGTGTTATCATTGCGTTATAGTATTATACGGGCTGTTCAATGGGGAGGAATCTTCTTATCTTCCTAAGCACTGCTTTTCTTTGGGATAGCTTCCTACACAGTTCTTCAACGTGAATATTAAAGCTTAAGTGTCGGTCAGTGGTAAGTCCCAGGAGTTTCTGACGATCCACCTGCTCTATATTTGAGTTCCCAAGATAAAGATTTAATAAACTATCGACGATCTGATTTGTAAGGCGCTTCCCGGTCACTAAGAGACATTTTGTCTTGGCAGCGTTCGTGACCATCTTGTTGGCAGCTGATCGCTGCGAAAGGTCATTTAGGTCTCGTTGAAGGGCTGATGTGATGCAAAGAAGTCCATCTGTCACGTCGGATGAGAAACCGCATAGATGTCAACGGTAGACCGCTGAGCTGCTAAGGGTAAGTCGTTGATAAAAAGGAGAATCATAACGAGGCCCAATATACTCCCTTGTGGTACTCCAGCCGTCACAGTTCTTGGGGAGGAGCGACATCCGTCAATGACTACGTACTGTTTGCTTTCACTCAGATAGTTGCGTAGTAAGTCTAGTTCGTGACCCAGAGACATTCAGTTTCGTTAGAAGGAGATCATGGTCTATGAGGTCAAATACTTTCTTGTAGTCAATAAATACTAGTCCCGTTCCTCAGTTTTTGTCTAAGTCAAGGAGAAGCTTGTCGATTAGTGGAATGAGGGCGGTCTCGGTGGAGTGGAATTTGCAGAATCCGGACTGGAGGTGATGAAGCAACTAAGTCAGAATCCGTGCTAGGAAGCAACGCTGATTACCCTCGATTTACGGTTAGGCGAACAAGAATAGAGGCCCGCTTGGGCACGTCCTCGTGCATGTCCAGGTGCCGTCATTGGGGAACAAGAGCCCCCGTTGCACTACCGATAGCAAACTGGAACGTTTCCGGTGATAAACCCTTTGCAGACGAATTAAATAAAGAACGGGGTATTGTAAGTTGTAGAGTAGCCTTGTTGCTACGATCTTCTGAGATTAAGCCTTTGTTCTAAGATTTGTTTCTTTCCAAATTTTTTTTTTTTTATGATTGACCAGCCAAGAACAAAATCTCCAAGCCAACACATTCAAACAAAAAGCATTTTTAAAACGGTTCTTTTTGTTTGTTTGTTGTTTTTTTTTTTTGATAAAATTCAAATTTTAGCGTGTTTCCCTTTCTGGAGAGGGTGTCGTAGAATCGATTACAGTTTCGTGTCTGGTTAAATGTTTCTCCTTTCTACAAGACAATTTCAGTTTCTTTACTTCTTCCTTAATATCTCTTCTCAGGAAGGTGTACACAAATGGATTAATCGCGGAGTTCGCTACCAACATGAGCCGACGAATCATCTGAATTATTTCAGTGTCATCGCAGAGTTTTAAAACATTTTTGCACATCGTGTAATAAGCTTCCAAGGCGTAACAGAATACAAAGAGAAATGTGACCATCAAAATCATCTTCAAAGCTCTTGATCCTTCTCGCTGATTCTCCTTTTTAGCTTTTCCTTTCGATCTGTTCTTGTGTTTTGTTTGTTCCCTTTTAGCAACGATGCTTATTCGCAGGGCAGCGAAGAGAATGAGTAAACACGGAAGAACCTCAAATATTATGACTATCACAGGAAGAAAGTACTTGAATGCTTCCCTTTTATGCAGGTAATAAAGGGGAGTGAAGACAACACCACGCAAAATAATAGGAAAAAGCCATGAAATCGCGATCGAAATGGCCACAATCCTGTCCGATACCTTGACTCTGTGGTACATGGGTTTGGTGATGGCGAGGTAACGGTCAGCTGTCATGGCGCACAAATTGCATACTGAGGAGTAAATGAAGATCCAGCGAAATGCTCTCATGATACCTGTTTGGCAGAAGGACCAACGATCACAAAAAAACAATGGAGGATAGAAACTTAAGGCCACTAAAGCATCCGCCACAGCAAGGGAAATAATGTACCAGTTGAGTTTACGCAAGCGAAGGTTCTTTCTGAATAGGATCAGAAATATTACGAAAGAGTTTCCAGACAACGCTGTTATGGTTAAGGTCCATGCGATAATCTCAAACAGCGCAGACATGATGCTTACGTGAGGTTTATCGCTCTCATGATGAAGAGAAGTGCGGAATTTGCTTCAAAGGAAGTTCGAAAGTACAAAACGGCCAATATCACTGATTTCCTGTCATGAGATACAAATATTTCTTTTGCAGTGCATGGTTATGCAAATTCAGATCGGATTTTAAAAATACGTAGTTGGTATATTATATTGTTGTCTGTTGCCGGAAGTTTAATTTGATTCCTTTTAACAGATGCAGATTTTGATCAGGGGAACAAAAAATGCGATCAAATGGGAAAGAGTCCAAGTTCGTAACAACTCAATCTCGGAACAAAAAGTCAAATCATAGTTGGTAAGGGAACCAGGCATATAATTTATCCGACGAAAGTTTATACGGAGCCCAGCCGTGCAGCAGAGTTCGATGGCGTTACAATAATTTTAAATTGATTCAACCGCAGAAACGTAGCATTGATGTAAAAAAGAAAAAAAGAGAAGCAAAGATCGTGAATTTTAAGAAGCACAAGCTTCCCAAACGTAGCACCGTTGTTTTGATCCTGGCGTATGGCATTCTTTCCTGATTAATGAACTCGAATAACCACGTTCACATTGATACGTTAAGTGCAACGAAGGCTATCTTTATTTGTGATTTGCGTGACTTTCAATACCCTTTTGTTTTGCGTGACATACTTTCGAATTGTTGGCATTTAGTTTCATTCGGCTACGAGACACGAGTTAGTCGCAAGCATAGCCAGATCGAAGGATTGTCGAAATATTAAAATAATAGAACGGGGAAAGAGGTATGTCAACTTGTTTATTTTTGTATTTATATACCGAAACGTGTATCATCGAAGGTAGTTTTGTTTCGCTTAGGATATTTGTGTTGTTTTGATTTGTCCCTGTACACACCCCGTTTGATTGAGTTTAACGGCCTATTTTAATTTATTGTATTTCAGTTTTTACGAGCTTTCAAGTTTAATAAAAAAATTGAGATTTGATAGACCCTGGGAGGTTCCGTTAATATAAAACATTTCTCCAACGCGGCGTTGTTCAAGTTAGATTCGATTTATGTCAGCGTCCGCCCGATTACATTATATATTGATAAATCTGCGTTTCGCGGAAAAAGTGAAAGGTCACAAGGAAATTTATTTGACACTTTTAAAAAAAAACGAAATCGCTATTTGAGTAAAGCAATCAACCATCAAACCGTTAATGAATGGGTTTCTCTAAACCACACGCGAAAGTTAGTCATGTCTTTTGTTTTTAATTTGTTTTGTTCTGTTTTTTTATGATTTTGCTTTTATAATTGTTTTGCTACAATGCTTCTTGAACTCGTGACAAATTTCCAACCTGTAAACATATTCATTTCTAAAAATAGTTATCTTTACCTCCAAATGAAGGGCTGTTCAGCATATTTTTCTCCCTGTATGCCATGAACTTTACAATCTTTGAATCCTGTACATATTCAATTTGGAATTTTTTTTCATTCCTTTGTTTGTAGGAATCCGTTATTCACGGGGGGAAATAAGTAGAAACGTGGCATTAGAAAGAAAATGAGTCTACAAAAAAAATCAAGAAGTGCAAATAAATTCACAGACGGTCTGACAATGAGAGGTATGCAGCATCTTATCCTCCAGCCATAAATTGTGAATGGAGTTCAACGCTTAGGAGAGTAAAAAAGTTATATCTAACATGTAGTTTTCAAAATAAAATTTGCGTGAGAATTACGACTGCGCGGTAACCACGAATAAATTTGACCGTCAACAGAAGCAATCTTTTTTACATGGATGGACGCTGACGCATCTAAAACGGAGCAAGCCTCAGGGTCAGATAATAGTTTTTCCATTCTCATTCCACTTGCGGAAATGAGCCCCGTTTGATTGTCAATATTACAGCCAATCTTAGAAAATTTTCTCGCGCCCACCTAATTGGACTTTTCTTTATTAATTTTGAAGCCACAGCGTGAAACACCCGCACGAACAATCGAACTGTTAATCTTAGCGGAATTCAACGATTTACCCGCTCCAATTCCGTCATCGGAAAACATAGCGATTGGAATTCCTTGTCCCCTCAAACGGGTTCCCAGAGGTTTAAGAAGCTCTGTGAAAATAAAAGGTGTACCAGAAAGCCCAAAGGTAGAACCGTGAAATGAAAATATCTGACATACCCTGCGCCAAAATCCCACGAAAAAAGCCAAATATTTGTGATAGATCGGAAAAATATCAAAATTGTGATTGCCTGCTTTCAAATCAAAAGACAAAGGATAATTATTGTTGGAAAAGGCACTCTTGATGGTATGCAACCCCTGACACTTAAACTCTGTTCAAATATATGCAAATCAATATGTCTCAAATCTAAGGTAAGGCCCTTTTTATACTGTTAGCTTGAACGGAAACACTCAACTTAGTGACAATATTAGGAGGAGCGAATATTTACTCGCAAGAGCCTTAGAAAAAAACCACGGCTCTTCAGCTTCCCTTGTACAGAAACTTGTGGGTCATCAGTCATAGTTACCACTAACACCTGGCGGTTCAAGCTCATAGTTTTCGGAAACTCGAACAAGGCCTTGACATAAAAGATCGTCCAAATCACACAAAGGGTTTATAGCAGAAATGTCAAATAATCAATGTTTGCTCGTCAACGAATTAATTCTTCATCTACCACCAAGATTACCTCTATATCCAGAAGGAGCGACCTGGTTGCATCTGGACGTCAATGACCAAATCTGCCACAAGCGAAGCAATTTCCCGGTCTTGACGTCTAACTGATGCGTCAAAATTATATGTAAATTAGGCTGTGGATTGTTTGCGTGAACTAATTAAAATACTTTTAACTTGGATTGATAAGGCTAGCAGGAAACTGCCACCGTTCTCGATGATTTTCAGCTTACTCTGCTTCAACAGATCCTGATAACAATGACATTTGTTACGTGCACAGATAAATATTTTAGGGTCTCAATGGGTTTACAATTTTGCTGTTAGGCGTAAGAATTGAGAAATTGTAACCGTTAGTCGTAAAAATTAACCGTTTTTGTTTTCTTCTGGCGATTAAATTGGAAAGATATCGACCCTTAGGTGTTTGAGTGTCAAAAGCATTGTATTTGGAAGGGTGTTTCTATGGACACTACAAACACTTGTCCTCAAGGTTTTTCGCTTGAGGGCGAGCATCGCCCACTTTCAAGGCAGGATGGCCAATGAAAATGCAGTAGGCCTAGTTTCTAGGGTAACACCCGTGCGCACTCTATGCACTGACCTGTTTGAGGGTGGGCTGCTGATGATAATACAGTAAAAAAGTTACAATTACAAAACACGAAAGAGTTAGAGCAGTTCGTCATGTGCATAACTAGATCTGCACGTGATAGCGTAGTCTGATCGTTCAGGTGAGTCAAGTCCTGAGAAGGACTATTGTCGGTAATGGTGACTGACGTTTCGACTACCTGAGCGGAAATCATTATCAGAATCAAGTGAATAGTTGTCTTTAATCGAATGTTCTTGGTCTAATAGGCATTAACTGACCGGTAAGTTTGGCTGTGATGTTATTGGATGTAAGACTCAAAGGGTGAAACATACGAAGCATACACTTAAACTATTTACTATTCAACAGTTTTGTATAATGTTCCAGCTCTACAAATATAGAATTTATTGGCGAGTTTAACAACAACGTACCGCAAGCCATACAAATCCATGTAAGGTACTCAGGGTGAAGGACCGTACAGATATACCGCTAAGAATGGTGTTGGAAGACCTCTGACTAAGGATGTCAACACGACCATTCATTGTAAATGTTGTAGTGATGGCTGTTATGACTATTTTTTTTTACCCTCAAGCTTTTGTATAACGTCCACCTATAATAGGGCAGAGAATTCACGAATGTTTATTCGTTTAAGCTGATATCTTAGTTTTAGAATAAAGCAATCTTCAATTGAGTTTCGAGAGCAATCCAGGATTGGCTTGGGTTTTATCTAACTCAGCTCTGTGATTGGTCTAAGAAACTCGTACCTTCCTTTCAGATCAACCGATCAGCGCTACAAGAAGTTTTCTGTTTTCACTTTGTGTTCTCATTGGCTAAGGATAATGTTAATCTTACTTCTTATTGGTCGCTGCAGTTATTTTTGTTTCTTTTTTACGAAACTACGTTAAAAACTACTCTAAAGTACGTTTATGGTTAGTTTTTGGAACAGTGGCACCAGTTCCTTTGTTGACTGCTTTAAGACTTGTGTAGCTTAAAACTTAATGCATATACATGTACGTCATTTTGGAATGTTCTGGTACACAGTTACATGTGCTTATCTTGGTGCGTTTATGTAGCGAAAGAGTGGGAAACAATCAAGTCACTATTAGTTTACCCAGATTACGATGGGAAATCCAAAGGATATCCATCCGGTTAACCCTAACACAGGTTGGAACTAATACAAGGACGGTCTAAAGATCGGAACTTCAAAAGATGATAGGAAATAGTCTTGTGATATCCTTTCATAGAAAGTGTAAGATTTTATGCTTGAACCGTCTTTTTTAAGCGGAGGACTGCGAACTTTGAATCTTTGTGATGCGTCTTATAGTTCCCGCTGCTATTGTGGCCATGGGAAATCACACTGCCGTTAAGGGTGGAGCTATTGTGCTTTGTTGCAAACTAACCACCAACTGTCTTATGGGCTCATGTAAAATCAGGCGGAACATGGAACCAGAAAAAATGGAGTATTGGAGATATCCAGGTAGAGAAACTTGGAGAATACAGGTGTAATGCCAACAACAAATATGGAGGAGCTATCAAAAGTACCGTTATTTTTTATGAAGGTGAGTGACTTAAGGTGATATGAGAAATGCTTCTCTTACAATATGTAAAGAAGTTGTCTGCTGGTATTGCTGAGTTACTAGTTAATACATGTTTACTGTGAAATTATTTGGTACCTGAATTGGCTCGAACCAGGCAAGGGGAGTGCTGGTCCCTGAGTTCAACACATTGGGGCTGTGATTACAGCTCTAAAAACTTAAAATCCCGTAGAAATTTAATGGCCCTTCCAAAACTCTGTTAAATTTTAAGATAAAGTTGCAGCTCTAACCTGCTTCTTAAACTTTAACAGTTTGGTGGTCTCTGTTTTTTTTTCTTAATTATGTTATGTTTTGTTTTGATTGAATAAATTCAAAACGTGAAAATTTATCTGAAACGTGAAAACATAAATCTTTCGTGATTTTTAAGGCCTGTTCCGAACGACGTGCTACTGCCGTGCCGAACTCAAATGAATTTGGCTCGGCAGTGGCACGACGATAGCAAACGTCGAACCTAATGCAGTCGCGCCAAATTCAAAAGACAAAACAAACCATCCATCCAGCGGTATCGCCCCATCCAAAATGGCAGAGGGAAACCTTAACGAAGAGCGCGAGAAGTTTGGTTTGTTTAAGACAATATTTAATGCTGGAAGGCAACGCAGGTGAATGCAACAGTCCATATTGAATGTTATTATTGCAAGGGGAGGATTACTTTTGAAAGTTTCTTCCTTTATTCTTCTTCTGGTTTCCTTTAATGAGAGCCAGCAAGTTACTGTATTACGATCGTGCCGGCGTTTCCAAAGGAACCTTGGCTGGTGGAACACAGTTTGGAACACCTAACGATTTAAAAAAACTTTATGTGTTTCAAGGGGAGCGTTTCAGTTCATTCTTAACAGAATTAGATATGACTTAGAGCGTGATGTATATATTTTCCAAGAGAGATGCGTGACGGAAACAAACAACGGTTGCGAAGGGAATGCATTGCTTTTTGATTGACATGAATGATCTCATATGAAGATTTTTAGTGCATTATTTTAAAATTTTTGTCATGGCTTTTCTCAATGCGATAGAGGCTTGAACATACAGCATACTTAAATGTAAGTCAGGCTAGACTCGTGATGGGCTAATATTTACTGCTGTTTATAAGCCGACAAAAGATCCCCAAAGAACCCTTTAGCTTCCACTCGACATTTTACAAAATATCAGCTGAATTTCTGTAATCGCAAGATTTAGTTAAATTCACTACGAAAGTCACGTTACATGTATCAATAGATGGCGCGACTGTCAGGAGGAGTAAATAACAGTTCCGTTTGCATGGTTGAAAAAGTCATGTACTGTATTTACGAAGAAATGTCCAAGAAAATTTGAAATTCTCCTTTCCACGAGCCCAAGGGTGTATCACACGAGTTCCGAAGGTATACCGTACATTCCATTAACATGGAAAAATGTATTAAACTCTTCTAGAGTCTATGGTAGATAAAATTTATTAGGAACATAATCACAGAATAAATCAGTGGAATGATACACTCCTGAACACAGGAAGACAAAACGTTCAGTGTCTGTAACATTGAGTCTTTAATCAAGTTTATTTGAATCAAAAAGTCTGAACATAAAGCTGGTATAACATGGAAAACCTAACAATAAAATAAAAGCAAGTATACAAAACAAAATCAACAAACATATGCCTGAAATTGCTGAAACTACATTCATCTTGCACAGAACAAAATCAGGCCATGACTTAGTTTTGTTTTTCTAGAAGTTTTATGACAATTTGAGACTGCTGCTGCTGCATGTTGCTTTTTGGACTGCTCCTCCTTCTTACTTTCAGCCTCTAGTCGCTGCTTCTGTAGCTGCATTTCTTCCATTTTTCATTTCTGCATGAGATCGTTCTTTTCTCGCAAACACGCTTCCGTGTCACTACCACTTCTTCGACGTTTTGCTCTTGCTGCTGTTTCATTCTCTACCTCATCTTTCCTTTGTCTTTTCTGTGTCCCGCCAAGGTTCTCTGGAGCTCTGTATCTCATTTCCGCTGCTTTAGCACCATCGATTTTCTTTTTGTCATTTTGCGCTGTTTCTTCAACCACAGCTTCTTTTTCTTATATCTTCTCAAGTGCTTTTTCAACGTCACTCAAATCTGTATCGATTCCACTTGCCTTCTCTTCACCTAGCATCTTTGCGCTAAATTTGTCGCTCAAAAGCGTATGTCATTCTCTAACAGATCACTTCGTCACTCTGAACTGGGGATTTTGAAGGCTGTTCAAATTGTTCGCTATTTTATCCCAGATTTGGCCCCTTGCAATGCTTCCTTTCTTTGTCTTGAATATTCAGAATATTCAATATTTTTCAGTCCACTCCATATTGGTTCTAAAGATAAAAATCAAATGTTAACGCTTATTTTCTTTTTGTTTGTGCTGCATGTTGTTTGTCTTTTTTTTTACTGCGAGCAGAACCCTTTTTTGTTCACCAAATACGCAAGACACTTTCACAAACATAAATAATCGAGAGATTATCATTTACTAAGCGTAATTCGTGTTGAGCTTCACCACATTCATTGCGAAAAACGTAAAGAAAAGAGAATAAGAGAACTTACTGAGCAATCTTGCTGGCAAAAGCCGAAGTTGTTTCACACTGACACTTGCAATAAAGTCAACCAGCACGCAGCGTGTGACTTTAAAATCCCGCCGTTCAATAGGTCGGTTAATAGTTTCTTAAACCTGTAATTAAAGATAAATCCAATATATTTCAACAATTTTAACACAACGCTACGCAGTTTTCTGGCCGTGATGTGTGGTAAACAGCGTTCAAGAATGGTGAACCTATAAGGCGAGTTCCGCACATCCGGAATATCCGTACGCTTTCCAATTTTAACAGCGTATCTGCGACTCCTTTTTTCTTACCATATTTCAGTCTTGATAATTTTTCCGTACTTAGTGTCTAATTTCGGGTTGCATATGTTTCTCTGGTAAGTTATTGAACTATTCTTGTTCTATTTGAACATATTTTTGAAAGAGCCGATTTATAAAGAGGTAATGCGACTTGTTTCTCCAAAAAATTTGATTAATGAAAAATCAACATTTAAACTGTAAGTAAAGGACCTATTCATTCATCAGCTGTGCGTTTATCGAAATATGAAGCATTTGGATAATTTGGATTGAATTGTAGAAGCCAGACTTTTGTTCTCGGCTACGCCTCAGGCAACTCTTATTCATGTTTCGTACCCTCTCAAAAGACTCAACTTGCCGCAATATCTAATGGGTTGATGAGACGTGAAGCGGTGTAGGCGGAAGAAGTAAGCGCGATGCAGCCGCTGGTTACAGTTCGTGACCCCTAAATATAATTGCATATTATTCCTTTATTTCCCTACCGTGGCATCTTGAAGCGTGGCTCGCCTTCACGGCGCGGAAATTGCAATGTTTTCAGGCATATTTAACGTGTCTATATTCTCATGCTTGGTTTTGTTTATTCGTAAAGCACGTAGGTACACGAGTTCATCATTTCTTAGCAAGCGTTTCTTTTGGCGCGAAAAACAGCTTCGCGCTGGACTGTCGGGTCGTATTTCCCAACTGGTTAAAGGATCTGTGCTGTTTTCATAATTTTTTGGTTTTGTTCTGTAGAACTAGCACCAACATTTACGGGAACTCCTCCAAATCCGTTCTATGTTTTGGAAGGCAACAATATCACCTTTGTGTGGCGGTACAACCTTAGTGGAACGTTTAACGGAGTTATCTTTCGGTTCGTCAGCAGCTCTCCCTCCCGCACCATTGTGTCCAAACATGACATAAACCTCGACGCAGTGGTTCCAGAAAGTGTTTACCAGGGTCGCATTTAAGAAAACATCAATGCTACACGAGCAGAAATTACAATATTTGCATTGCAACGATTTGAGAGTGGAGAATACGAAATTGACATGACCAACAGTAATTTCGAGACTACCAGCGACAGCGTGAATGTTCAAGTACAGTGCAAGTAAACCACCAAAAGTTTCATGAATGTTATCTCTACTGTTTCTATTTGTTGAAAAATATTGAAATCATTCCGTGAAGGTGAATCTCGTTTCGTTGTTGGATATTTCATTTCATTCATTCTTGACGCAAAATGCTGCTATTTTCTGGGTAGCTTAGGAATATAGCACTGAAGTACTATCTTTTCGCAATCTCCACTAATTTCATTCAAACGTGACAAAAACATTGACAACTTTTTGGTTACAAGTTCATGTTAAAGCGATGACCAACCTGGAACTTCAAATGCACTCGTTAACGATGCAAAACTTGTCCTATTATTCATAACGTAGAGAAAATGTCGGGACCCAAGAGATCCATTCAGATCACTGATCACTTTACGTGCACCTCCGCTAATGTCATTTGCTGGATAACTTGCAATTATTGCAATAAGTTGTACATTGGTGAAACAGGAAGACGGCTAGGCCACCGATTCCGAGAACACCTTCGCGACGTAGAAAGAAACGACAAGGACGTATCCAAATCATTCGCTAGACACTTTAATCTCCCTAATCATTCTAAACAACATATGGCAGTTTGCAGCCTTTCCTTACGTCCAGAGAGTTCGGAAAGTAGCAAAATTCTAGAACAATAATTTATCTTATAGATCGCCACTCTTAATCACCACGGTATCAACGAGCGCTTCTCATTCAACTAATTTATTCTTGTTTCCTCGTCACCACATTCCTACCAATAGCGTAGCTCCATTTTCTACATATAAAGCCACACACAACTCACAATTCCTCCAATCGCTCTGCCGAAGGGCTAACGCCCGAAACGTCAGCCTTTAAACTCTTTACACAGGCCAATTTACGTTTTCAACCCAGTTGATCACACTAAATTTCTCTGTAATACTCTCCCACCGACGCAGCACCACAGTTTCTTTAGAAACTTACCCCCTTTATTCGATGCGGAACAGCGTTCATATGGGAGAAACTTCAATATTTGAAGTCTTGCATTCAGGAAGCTGTTTCTTTTTTTGTAATTTCAATCATACTTCAAAGAGCAGGTTTAAGAAAAGAGAGTGTGCATACAAGGAATTATTTCTGCCCGCTTTACCCTCACAGGACTATTGTCTTTATCATAGTCAACCTGAAAATCTTACAGAAGCACAAGTCCTGTCACATATTCCAATAACCTGCAATTCGTACAATTGCAAATATCAAGGAATTGAAAGTGGTAATTGTTCAGACATTTCAGGATTTTTAAATTTGATTTTAGTAGCTAAGTTTTGGGGCAGATTGGTTCAATTTTGCAAATTTTGACTGTGGGATAGTCTATCACTGCTGTCGCTTCTGAACAGATCCACCAGAGTTCAATTCAATCAGTAGAGATGTAATTGTTGTTGAAGGTGACCCAAGTGTCATATTAGAGTATATCGGGGATAGTGTGCAAAGTTGCCAGTTTGTCTTTAATTCTTTAACAGATCCACCAGAATTTAACAACGTAAGTAGTGATGCGGTTGTTGTGGAAGGTGACCCCAGTATTACTTTAGAGTGTATAGCAGATGGTGAACCAGCACCAAACATTACCTGGACCAAAGTATATACTCATGGCATTGACAGTGTTGTACTGGGACCTGGGAACTGGGAACTGGGAATCAGTTTGTCCTTAAAACCAAAAGAAATAACAGTGGAACATATCGTTGTACAACATATAATGGGATAGGAACTGCATCAAATCGCACGGTGAAAGTAGAAGTTAATTGTAAGTAGATAATTTTATTTTGTGGTTTTTATTTTTCATAGAATTTAGGATTGATTGTCATAAATGTAGTAGGAAAAAATAATGCAAAATAAAACTCCAAAATGGAAAAAGGTGTAAATCAACCACAAAAAAAGATGCGTGAAGATGTACCTCTTTTACGAGTGGTAAAGGCATGTGGGCAATTTTATAGGCATGTGGGCAATTTTATAGGCATGTGGGCAATTTTATTGAAATACGTTGTAATATTTCGAGCAGGGCCTGAAAGAGCTATACAGCCCAGTATAGGGTGTTGTGAGATTCGGAGAGAATAAATGATATTAAAAAAGCTGCAAGTCAGAATAAAAGAAAGAAAAAAGAAAGAAGAGGAGGAGGTATCAGTCGCCAATTGCATTGGACTGGCCACATGCTCTAATACTGATGCATGATCAAATATTGTTATTTTCTTCTCTTTAGATCAACCGGAGAATTTAAAGTTTATGGTGAATGACTCAGCTGTATGTAAAGGTGATGTTATCAGTATCACCTGCTCAGCAGATGGTAAACCTGCAGTGCATACTTATCAAATGTTTGAGAATGAAATACTAGTTAATGATGGAAAAAGCTCAGCTGCGGTATGGATAAGGAAATATTTAAAAGAAGTAGACTTCAGCTACAAATGTGTGGCTAATAACACTGTTGGTACAGCTGAGAAGACTGTAAATGTCACAGTAAAAGGTACAGTGTGAGAAGTAGTTGTTATCTGTTACCGTTACTAGCTTACATATGGTAAAAGAATACTGGTGTAAGGTGTGAAGCTTTAATGCCATTTTCCCCGTAATGTTGTGCATTGCGTATTTAACTTCAAGTGGCATCGGCTCATGAGTACTTTTGTCGGTGAGGTTACTTTTAATATTGTGTATTAGTTTCACTGTTCTTATAGTTTACATTATAATGTAATAGATTAATTCAGGTGTCACATGTAAGTTAAAAAAAACTGACCACCAGTCCACTTTAGGTGAAAAACAGTCACAGCACTTTGCAGTATCGTCTTATGAAGGCTTTTATATTCTTGCTTTTTTGAAACAATCCTGTTTCTTCAATTGTTAATTGATGACTGTCTAGACTCAATCCTATCCAGGGCCCCAATTGAAAAATGGTCACCATAAAATAAAAAAAATAAGAAATTGTTCACCCCATCCACATTCTGTATTATGCTACATGAAAGTCTAGTGAATCTAATGATACTGTACATGCAACTGTGCAACATTTTTATTTGCCAAATTGGCAAGTATGCTGGCTGGCCGATTAATGGAAGGAGGGAGAAGAATTTCAGTGTATCGCTTAGCCGAGAAACGAATTGAAGTGAGCTGAAATATTCATATTAAAAAACCTCCACATTGAAAATGACGTCTTGACTCACTTGAGAATTCATCACCAAACTTCCAAATGCAAAGTTGATGGTTAAATGTTGCATGTAATAACACAATCAACGAAATCAATGCGACTTCATCACCACTCACTTTAGGTGTTTGAGTATTAGGAAGTTATGGAACTGCAAGAGGGGAAAAAAGAAAGACATGGGATACAAGCATTTTTCCTTTCAAAACTGGACCGACAATCAAGAAATTTTTCCTGTTTTTGTTTTTCTTTGTCTGGTGGTTGCTAATAGGCCACTTCTGAGTTCCTGCGGTTCAGTGATCTGGTGCCAAAATTGTGGTGCGAGGACGAGGCTAAGTGTGAAGTGAACTGTATAAAGGATTAGGTGTAGTGGTGGTTAAAGTGAGAGAAATGAGACATGGTATGTCCGAGCAATAAAACTTTTTTGGACTGGAAATTTGCCCTCACTTGTTGGTAATTTCTCCTTCAGCAGCTCTTCGCAGTTTTTGGCAGAAGAGGCGATTTTGATCTGCTTCATTGTTACAGCTTTTTTTGCATAAATCGAAAAGTTCTGCTTTTTTTTCCTTTTTTGCCATCTCTTAGCTGAATGCCTCTCTACCACAAATAATTTTTCACTCATTTTCACTCATTTTCACCACCATGGTACTTAAATCTTTATATTGATGAAAGCGACTTCACACTTAGCCTAGTTCTTGCGCGGTAATTTTGGCTCTGTGCAAGTATACAAACAAAAATTTGATGAGTGTGTAGGTTCATAAACATGTAGTTTTACACTTGTAATTTTTTGTTATCTCGTTCTGCTCAGGGCCCTCTAAAGTTTATCCATTGGAAAATATCACAGTGATAGAGGATGAAAACAGGACTTTAACCTGTAATGTTTCTGGAGGTCCTGTGCTGACTGTAGCATGGACAGAAGTAAGCAGCCCCAGTCAGTCCAGTGGAGTCATGCGTTATCTTACCAACATCAGCAGGTATAATGCCGGTGAATACAAGTGTGAAGCTGCAAATGACTGTGGAAATAGCTCTGCCAGCACTTTCCTCATTGTACTCTGTAAGTTATTATTATTTATTTAATGATGATCGAGTAAAAATATGCATCAAGTTCCAGAGTGTTCATCTTGTAGCCCACTTTTCACTCTTTGCTAAGTGTGAGTTGCTAGATTCCCGAGCTGTGGGGCATTCCTCTCACTTTTCTCAAGCTTGTTTTGAAATTAATAAAAAGTAAGGAGCACTTATGAGGCCGCAGTTTTATTGCATTGGAAATTGAATAGAGAATAACGCTAGGTATAGAATTTCTTTGTAAGTGTTCCACATGATATACCGAGGTCCACACGAGAAGAGAAGTTTATATCCATAAGAAACCATGCAGTATTTTGATTATTTTAACATCTCAGTTAATCCAAACAAATTCGAGGAACAACCTTCCATTGAGAATTGTGCATGCTTTGTCAGAATGGGGTTAAGGTAAGTGATGTGTTGGCACTTGATTGGCAATATCAAACACGTAACAATTTATTGTAAATTTACGTTGTCATGTACAGTTACAGTTTTCCCTAGGGCTGGAAATTGTTGTAAAAATTTGCAGTTTATATATAATAAAACATTTTGCCCTACAATTTTGGAGAACTCTGAGTGACACTTAATTGTCTCTTTCTTCTATTCTAGACAAACCTGAGAATGTCCAGTTAATGAGTTCTGCCATGGACGACAAAGCATGTACGGGAGAAGTCATCAGCTTTAACTGCTCAGCTAATGCTAATCCAGGCGTTGCGTCATACCAGCTGTTTGTCTACAGATGCGTGGCCAAAAACATTATAGGATCAGAATACAGCATGAGTGTTACTGTCACCGTGAATGGTAAGCAAAATAACCCAAACTAGGGCTTGTGTAAACCGTTCCATAAGCTATACACACATACTGGGCACGTTCGTGAGTGTACATACTCCCAGTTGTAGAAGAACATTGACACTTTAGGAGGATGATTCATGAATGATGAGACTACATGGAAACAGCTTTATGAGAAATGTTTGCACAGTTGCATCTCATTATAATATTTATGGCAAATTGCTGTTTATGATAAGCCTTTTCTCACAGGAAAGGGTTGTTGGCCTCCATCATCTACGACGTGTAACTTATTGTGGTTATTATGGACATGTGCATGCATAATGTGTTGGGTCTCATCATTCATCGCCAACGATTTCTAGGTGTCTACCATTTAGCCACATAATGTATACGTGCATGGTCTTAGTTATCTTGGTGTTTGTAGGTGGTAATGAAGTCAAAGGGAATTACACGCACGTTGTATGTTGGGGACTAAAGGATGCAGTTGTTAAAGTGCACAAGCTGGTCATTGGCTACTTTTAAGATTCACTTTTTTGGGGAAGGATGATTCATGAATGATGAGACTACATGAATGATAAGACTACATGTAAATAGCTTTATGGGAATTTTTTGCACAGTTGCATCTTATGATAATATTCATGGTAAATTGCTGTTTATGGTTAGCCTTTTCTCACGGGAAAGCATTGTTGGCTTCTATCATTTACCACTTGTAACTTATTGTGGTTATTATAGACATGTGCATGCATAATGCTGTTGAGTCTCATAACTCATCGCTAACGATTTTTAGGTGTCTACCATTTAGCCATCTAGTGTATACACGCATGATTTTAAGTATCATGATGTTTGTCGGTGGCAATTAAGTCGAAAGGAATTACACGCACTGTAAGTTGGGAATGAAATGATGCAGGTGTTAAAGTGTACAAGCTGATTACTAGCTACTTTTAAGATCCTTTCACATTTTCACTTTTCTTTTACAGTACCTTCCTCAATCACCCAAATAAGACAAGATCAGAATATAACTGAAGGTAGCAATGTGACTCTGTGATGTCACGTGCCTGGAGTCCCCGCACCAACAGTGTCTTGGATTAAGCCTGGTGGCCAGCGCCAAAGTATATCGATTTCCTTCTCTGTAAAGTTTTTTTTAGAGAGGCTTCCTTAATCATATCTTCGGCATCAGGCAGATAAAGAGGGAGACTCCTTGGTTACTTTGTAATATGTAGCTTACAAAGGTTAATTAAACTGTATTTATAAATTGTATGTTTTGTCCCTAGAGAAACCTGAGAATGTTCAGTTAATGAGTTCTGCCATGAACGACAAAGCATGCAGGGGAATAGCCATGAGCTTTAACTGCTCAGCTAATGCTTATCCAGGCGTGACGTCATACCATTATTATTAAATCTTTATTAAATCTTTATTAAGTCATAAGATAAATAATCACATATCCTATGTTACAACATTAAAAGAAGGTATATATATAAATTACAGAGAAAATCAAGATAAAAATTATAAGACTAGATTATGTTTAAAAATTAAGCGATTAACAAACGTGTTTTTGAACCTATCAGTGTTTATTTTAGGATGGTGACTTGTCTCTTTCCTCAGATTGTACTTGGTTAATTTCTTTTTGGCATTATAGCTCTTAAAGGGTGTATTGTATTATTAAAAACATTCTTGAAGATACGCGTGTCCTGTTGAACTAACAATTCATAAACATTAATGTGATCGGATGTATACTTGCGCTTATAACATCGATCTAAGAAACATTGGATTGTTGTTAATTCGGAATTTACAGCGCCAAATACGGACAACCCGTATAATATATTTGGTAGAACCAGATTTAGAAACAGATGGTCTATTTCGGCCTGATTGTACCCTTCTTTCCTTAAAGATCTTAAAATGAACAGGCACTTGTTTGCTTTAATTAGTTTTTCCTGAATATGTGTTATGAACCTACTGTCTTCCTGAAATGTTACCCCTAAAATAGTAAGCTCTTTTGTCTGTGGTATTCCAGACACCATCGGAAACTCTATTGTACAACCTTTCTTGCGGAAAATGATTTCCTTGCACTTAGATGGATTGCTACACATACCATTACTTCTAGACCACTGGGAAAACTGATTAATCAGTGCGATAGAATTGTCATTATCACCTATCACAGGCGAGATAATGGTTGTATCATCTGCATATTTTACCAGCACGCTCTTATTGTCCAAGTGTATCTCTAAATCACTGAGAAAGACATTGAACAAGTGCGGCCCGCTGACACTTCCTTGGGTGGTACCTTTGTTGACACTTTTCCATTTTCCAATAAACCCATTTCTAATGACTCTCTGCTGCCTGTCTTCCAAAAAGCTTAGATACCAGTTAACTATAAAAGGATTTAGGGGGAGTTGCTTCAATTTGTGTGAGAGGAGATCGTGTTTCACACTATCAAAAGCCTTGCTGAAATCCATAGCGAATAGGCGTACCGCTTTGCACTCTGGGATATCAAGATATTGATTGACAGTATGTTGGATAGTCAGTAGAGCATTGGTACAGCTCCCTCCCTCTATGTATGCAAACTGTGAGATCCCAGAATGTTCATCGAAGGTCTCCCTTGCGTGTGTTCCTAAGACAGCTTTCTCAAAGCACCTTGCGATGACAGGTGTCACATTTATTCCGCGGAAGTCTGATATTCCCTTAGGTATATCAACCTTCGGCAAGGGGTACAGGTCTGACTTTTTCCAAGAGACAGGCCAGGCGTGTGTTCTAAGAGACAGATTCCAAATCCAGGTGATCACTGGAACGAATAGCTCGGCGTGGTCTTTCCATATAGTATACGGGATGCCATCTGGTCCGGTTGCTGTTTTCTTTATACGCATAAGAGAATTCAGGACTTGTCGCTCTGAGATTTCTGGGACTTCCTGATCTTCACTAATCTCCAGAGGTGTTGGCTTTCTGTAGGCGTGGTCAGTACATAGGTCACCAAAGTAGTCATTTAACGCGTTGAGTTCGTAGTGGCCAAGAGATAGAGAAATCACCGGCTTGCGGCGCTGAGATGTTTTATCCACTTTTTCCACCAATCCCGAGTTCCAATAGAGGCGATAAAGTCCCTTCTGTTTCTGAAAAATCACTTCAGAGATCCTTTTATTCATAACTTTAAGACGGTCTAGATTACTGAGTGATATGCGTGATTTGGCTCGTATCATCGATCGAACGAGCGGAGTCATCCAGCCCGGGTCTCTTGAAGACATGCGCACTGTTTTCAGAGGCATGCAGCTATCCAGGTGCCCTAGGATGGTATTTTCGAGCCTACCAACCACTTCATCGACATCAGTTTCCTGTATCATATCATCCCAGTTTTCCTTCGCCAACGCGATATACAGATCACGCTTTCTATGAGCCCTTTGGTCACGCACGTATACTTTACGGCGGATAGGTGGAAGCTTTATACCGGGTGGTAAAATAACTCCCATGTGATCCGTCTTGGAGAGCATGTGAAAGGGATAGCACTTTGAAAAGAGATCCGTGCGGTTCGTGAAACAGTTGTCCAAACAAGAATTCCCTCTGGTGGGGAAATTAACCAGAGCATTCCAACCAGACATTTCTACCAGCTGTTTGAGAACGAAACTTCCATTTTAAACACTAGTGTCTCGGGGATGTGGAGCAAGACTTTGGAAAGTAAAGGAGTTTTTGTTTACAAATGCGCGGCCAATAATTTATCTCTTTAGGATCAGAATACAGCATGAGTGTTACTGTCACCGTGAATGGTAAGCAAATAGTCCAAATTGTGTTTATTTGAGAACAATTTGAAAAACTACACACATAAAGACAGCATTTGCATGAGCGAACAGACACTCGATTACGAAAACGTTGACACTTATAAAGCAGGATCCATGATTGATGGGACTCAACGGCCTTATGCGAAATGTTTGCTCTGTGGCATTCCATTATTCAGGAACATCTCTGTCGATGTTATTTCTTTTCTTGCATGAAAACGTTGAGGCTTTTATCATTTGCCACATGCAACAATGTGTATACAAGGTTATCATGTACATTTTTACCCATAAAGCCGCCGGGTCTCATCGCTCGTTGCTAATATTTTTTCGGGTGTCAACGTTTTTGGCAATCGAGTGTATATGTGCATATTCTTATGTTTTTATTTGTGAAAGACAATCGAGTTGAAGAGGAATAAAAGCACATTTATATTGGGGAAGCAATGATCTTTGTGCTTAAGCCTGCAATTATCCTAATAACACAAGATCAGAATGTAACTGAAGGTCGCAATATGGCTCTTATGTGTAATGTATTTGGAATTCCTCCACCAATGGTGTCTTGGATGACACCTGAGAGTCAACGTGTTAGTGGATACAGGTTGGAGATTACAAACATTCACAGAAGTCAAGCTGGTGAATACAAATGTGAAGCTAGTAATGAATGTGGCAATGCAACAGAGACAGCAAACATTATTGTGCTGCGTAAGTTTGACAGTTCCTTTTCCTTAAAAGTTTACGTTTATCTGTATGTTTTGTAAATATACACTCTGACGATGGCTATTGTCACATGTATAATGTACATGTGCACATTTTGTATTAATTGGGTTTAAGGTATCGCTAATTTCACACAGATTAAGGCATGTAATTTGTAATACAGTCAGACCTCTCTTATGCAAACGCCAAAGGGTCATTGTAAAGTAATCTCATCATTTTACGACTTTTATCATATCACGTTCAGTCTTATTCTGCTACTTTATCAAATTATCCCTTAATTTTTGTTTTATTTTTACACTGATTTATGTACACTAAATTACCGACCCAATGTAGAAAAACCAGAGAATGTGCAATTTAAAACTTCTGTGATCCACGGCAAAGCATGTCAGGGTGATACTATTGCCTTAAAATGCTCAGCTGATACTAAGCCAGCAGTGACGACCTACCAGCTGCTTAAAAATTACACTACCATGGCCCTCAGCCTTTCAGGGATGTGGAGCGAAACATTGGCAAGTGGAGGAGTGTTCGTCTACAGATGTGTGGCTAACAACACAGTAGGAACAGTATCTAGTACGGATGTTACTGTTACCGTGAATGGTAAGCCTTGATCTTTGTACTGAGGTATGTAAATACTCCAGGTACGGTTTAAAAATACCTGCTTCGAATTTCATTGCAATAATCTGTTCTGTGAGTAATGTTTCATGTGTTCTTTGGAACTTTTAGATAATTTCCATATGATTTCCATATTCACTGGACTACTTTTATAGTTGTGAAAAATAGGAAATTGTTACCGTTTGTCTCGTGATATACTCAGTTTCGTCGCGAAGTGCGACACTTCGAATGCAATGTGCCAGTATTATTTTCGAATGCATCCTACCAGTGCACCCTGCTAGTATTCTTCGAGAAGTACAGTTGCTTGGTGCGAATAATTAACCTTATCAAGTGTCAAGCTTTGTACACTGCGTGAAATAATCCGAATACGGTCCCTTATGTAGGTCTTATACAGTCAGTACACAAAGTCGTGTACGGAATCTATAAGGAGGTGTTATGATGTATAAGGTACTGTTTAAGGATCAGTATACGTCAGGCTATGCCAAGAAAATAGCAGGATCTTATACACTTGTAGCAGGATTTCTTATGCGCCAGTTCTCGTTTCAGTATACATGTTGTATACTGAAGGAATTATGATTACAATTTTGTGTGGAAGGCACGTATACAGTCGTTGCAGGATTTCTTATTCATTATTACACAAGTCCGTATATATGATGTATACTGCATGAAGCAGGAAGGGTACTGATAGTAGAAGGTGCGTATTGTGGGGCTTTAACGAGCCTTTTTTGAGCAATCTTAATGGGAAAATTCACCATTCTCGAGTATTCTTACGGGGTACGTTCAGCGTCTTGCATTGTTTACGTGTGATCTAGGTGGAATCATAAAATCGTGAATCATCTCATGCTTCAATTACAAATAGCTGTTAATTTATTTCAGTATTCCTCAGTCACGTGTTGTTTTTTTCGTAGTACATATACATTAAAAAAAACTAAAAAACCTAACATTTGGGTTTCTCAAAAATAGTATTGTTAATAATAATGCGAAGAATGAAAGTTGAAAATCTAATTTACGAAAAGGTATAATCCAATGATTAAAAGTTGTGATTTATGTACAATCACACTATTCCTTTCACACACACCCCCACACAGAAAAACAAACTATTCGTTCTCAAAATCACAATCGCTTCCTGAGGAGCTGTCATTATCACTTTCTTCTCCTTCTCTTTCTTCCGCTCCGCTTTCGTCAGTGGTCTCTTCATCCTCAAGTTCTCTGTTGAACCAAAAAAAATGTTAGTTAAACAATGTAACAACCTTGTATAAAGGAAACAAGCATATTACGAAATTTTTCATAGCATGCAATATATAGAGACAGAGAATTTTACATCGGTTTACATAGTTTATACATTCTTCTGTGCTTCACTTTCATAGTTGGTAAACTAAAAGTAAAAGCGACAGCATCCAATAAGGAGTGTAAAGGCTAAGCAGTATTCTTACATTTCCGTTTGTTCCTGCTCTCTCCTTTGCATGATTTCCCTCCATTCATCGGACAGCGCCCATTTAGGAGAACCTGTGGGTGGCTCTCTTTCTACAGGCTCCCCTTTACGAGCCTTTGTTCGTTTCCACCTTTTGTTTGTTGCGTTTTCTGTCTTTTCGCTGCGCTTGTCAAGACAATAACAATATTATAATTAGAAGATGCCGTTGACTTGACTGAAACCGTGCAGTAAATCCAACCCTTAAAAAAAACCGGGCAAAAAAGCGCTAATAGGTGACTAACAAATAAACTGACTTTAAAGCCTACCTGACATTTACAGTCCATCATTGCCAATAACAAGGAACAGTCTGGCAATACTGGACAATTTTTAAGGATAGAAACATTTCCATCTACCTTGCTATTAGAAATATCAGTAAAGGACTAAACCTTTAGTATGCTTCTTACTTGTTCAGGAAAGCTTCAAGAGTTTTGCTCCTGTATTTTGGGGGCCTAGACACCCATCCTCCTTCGCCTTCATCAGTATCTGTGTCATCATCGTCACTAGACATGTGCTCTTTACTTAACTTTGCGAAGGCACGGGACTCAGTCTCATCCTTGACAGGCGCTTTTCTTCTCTCATATTTCTATGAGATAAAGAAAAATTTGCTTTTTAGTACTTTTCAACTAACTTTCATTGCATCATTCAAAATGTATCATTTAAGTTATTTTAATGCATATTAACTGTATACTTACTCGTTCTTTTCGAAGATTTTTCTTATTTTTCAATTTTATTTCATCCGTTATTTTTCCAAGGGCAGTCCTCCGTAAGTGCTCATGATACTTTTTGGCAGTTCCTGAACAAAACAAAAAAGGCTTTAATTTCAAAATTGCGTGATTGGGGCCTGATTATCTGTTATGGACAATAAATCTTGGTTGCAGTGGTGTCCTCTAGTTTTAAATTGCTTATATAGTAAACTTACGTTGTACAGCAGCTTTACCAAATCCACTTCGGTGGCCTTGGCGGCAAAGTTCATCAACAATCAGCTGAATTACCTTTGTGTTGTGAGGGCTGGTGACCCTGACAGGGAGAAAATATACAAAATATTTAGGCCTCTGCATCTCGTTGAAAATATTTCTTAGTGCCTTTAATTATTCACTCTTAAACTTGGGTTAAATGTATGGGTCCAAGTCTACATATGAGAAAAAGTGCTCATGGGTCTTCAAGCCTGCCTTAGGCCCCGTCCATACTGCGTCGGAGAAATTTGAAAACGTAGCTTCATTCCACGGTTAAGCCTACCGTCCACACTAATCCGGAGACGAAGACGGAGCTTTCCGAAAACGCTTTCAAACTGAAGGAATTTGGCCTTGTGTTTTAGTGTGGAAAGAGAACATTTTAAAAACGGAGCTTTTCGAAAACAATGACTTCACGATAATCTTGTGATTAATCCTAACCCTCAAGGATGCACTCAAGCGTTTTCGTCGCCGGTGATTGTTGCGTTTTCAAATTTCTCCGGCGGAATGTGAACGGAGAACATTTGATGCGCTTTCAGAGTAAAAAGTCCGTTTTCAAATTTCTCCGGTGTAGTGTGGACGGGGTCTTAATTAGATTATATCAGTCCCACAAAAAAGAATTACCCTGAAACCTGCATGATAAATTTTAATTACCAGTTGATTTCCGTTGCACAATTTTGATTTGACTTCTTTCCTTATTTCGGGTTTTCTAGCCCTCAAATTTCTTTCGAACATTGCCGATCGACTTAGAATACTTTCAAAATCCCCCAAAATCTGATGTTCAATTAGCAAAATCCCCGCCAAGTTGTAGCAAAGTTGGCAGCGCGCGAAAACCAGGAAAATTGGTGAACATGGCCTTTGGTCAACAGCTTCCTTCCTATGAACGCGCGGGGAAATGGTGCAGAGGTACAGCAGTTACAGTGTTCGTCTTAGTATTATACGATCTGAACGCGAGGCAAATAACAGGAACCTACATGTATGGTACTTTTGAGCTTTCTGTCAACTACATGCTGAAAGTGTCTCGAACTAGTTCAGCTTGCCAGATCTAATTGCACGTCATGAGAACGCGACCTAGTTTTAATTGTTTAGAGTCGTTTCTCCCTACCATTAACCTAAAAATCTCTTCATAATTCGTCCTCAGTGATAAGGGAGAAATCAGATGTCTCGATGCGCAAATGATTATTTAGCGGGAATAACTCTCACCCAAGAAAGCTTGCCATGAGTGATTCTTCTGCCGGGACCTAAAAAAGTCCCGAGAACTCACCGGGTCCAAATATTTTCGCGCGCACAAGTTGATTGAAACTTTCGGAAACGGGCCCCTATTGTTATACGAAATACTTAGGCGGCAAGCTCAAAGTCCTTCCTCAAATAGGAAAGATGGCGGCAAAACGTTGCCAACAAAATCACAGAGTTCCGCGTGTAGCTTTGTCTTCGCGCTGACATTACGTGAATCATATACAATTTCATGCGAGTTGGAAATAGATATACATGCACTAGGTCGTTATCAGAATTTAAATTCTAAACAAGTGCACAGTTTAATTTTTACTCACGATTCCCTTCCTCTGTATTGCCTTGCGGGGTCTCTACTATTGTGGCGCTTGTGAACCTCTTCCTATTACACAAATTTGAATACTGTCGCAATCAGTGCATCATTATAAACTTCCATTTTCACGGTAAAGCAAGTAACTCACGTCACAAACAGGTTGTGTTCAGCCTCTCATGAAAACTCCACAAACTAAATGAAATCTAAGTGACCTAAATTGAGCGGTACCAAGACAAAAGCTTGTAAGCTTTAATCACACTTACATGAAAATTTCTCACCTCGATCAACAGAACGACTGAAAAGTCAGAGCAAGCAGCTTCCCTTAAGCTTTTAAAATTAAAAAGTTAACCAGCGAGTGACATGTATTCATTAAGCTTAACTGAGATTTTGAACGATATCATGTAACTGATGTAAATGAGAAAATTACCATCAGGGTGTAGTCTTCAATGAGAGAAATATACATCGTTGTTCGATCGTTTCAAAATGACGCCAACTTAGCAGAGGGTACCACAACAGCAATCCAAGGTTTTTCAGTCAAAATTTTTAAACTCACCTGAACAAGAAGAGACGATTTTGTTCTCTTTCTCTTTTTCCCTCGTCCATCAGAACCACTCTCGGTTCCATCTACGGGATGGGAAGAAAGCTTTTCTACCTTGCCGTCTAGGATTTTTACTTTTTTGGCCAGTTCTTCAACCCGCTCGTTTGAGCTTCGCACGGTCTGAAGCAGTTCCTCGATCGACCTCTGGCAGGCAGCAAGGCCAGTGATCAACTGCTGCGCTGTTTCTCGTGAGGATAGGGGCGTAGATCCGCTGGATCGGACAGAAGATGACGACCGACCAACTGAACTTACTCGCGAGCTCGAACCGCTAGAAGGGGATGGAGTCCGTGATATTGAATAAAAATTGCTTGGTGCACTACCGCGACTTTGTGCGCTGGAATTCCGATCCATGTTTTTGAAATCAGATGAATGAACACTATTTGAACCGCGGACGAATTTGCATAAGTCGAGAGAAACAGTCTGAATCAGCGAACCTCGTGAACTGAAAATTCCCGCCACAAAGAACCAATAAATAACCACGAAGCGGCTGCGTGAGCTTCGCAACTAAGCCTTTTTTCAACGAGTTAGCATAGTTTTCCAGTCACGTTAGTGGAGGAAATGAATTCTGTTTTACCTGCAAATGAGAAAATTGTGTATTGTTCGAAGAGGAAGAAGAAAAGATTTTGTGATCACTGCGATCGTCTGGTCTCGATCAGGACGTTTAATGCCCACAAGCGAAGGAAGACCGTCGATAATGCAAAAATTGGTAAGTCAGTGTGACTTTGAATGGTTGTTGTTTGCTTTTGTTTGGTCGGCTTTTCAAACTGTCTGTCGATGTTTTATTACTTTCATATTGGGGAACAACATCTTAATCTGTAGCTGTCTAATTTTATTTTTGATCTTAGATTACACAGATGAATTGCTTAGCCAAGATCTTCGAATTCACTGATTCAAGCGACCTGGATCTTGACTTTGATTTATCAAGCGATGAATGTTCTGAAGTTGCAAAATTTGCCGGTGAAAGTCCGGAACTTCAAGGTATATATTCATATATCTATTTACACCAAACTTTAATGTTATTCGCCTTCAGAATTAACCTTCTTTGAAAGCAAAGTTTGGGTGAGATTGAAGTTTTGAGGGCTTGAAGTTAATTGGCTTATAAAGTACAGTTTTGTATTGCAGATGTTAGCCCGCTCCAGGATGGGGCTAAATTTAGTTGCACTTTTTACATATCACAATTCAGCTATGCAGCTAGACCTAGGGGACACAAAAATGCAGTTGGATGTGCATGTTTATTCATTGTTTGTGACCTATAGGCCTCACTTTTAAGCTGAAATATAAGATCCTATTTTACAAATCATTGTAATTCCTCCAAGACAAAATTTTCCTTGGACTTGTTATGATTTTGTGTTCACGAGTTAACTTTTTGGCATCGACATGTAAGGTAACAGATATATGAATAGTTGGGATTGTAATACATATGGTGTTGCAAGTGTCACAATAGAGAATCATGCAACTTCTTTTTTGAGTGAAAAAGAAGTTAGTTATTTTTATGAGCAAAAATGCATTAAAAAAAAAGTTTTTTTTTTTTTTTGCTGGTGACTAAACCTGTGCTCTCACTCTCTTTTGAAGTAACCTATATCTCTCTTTAACCAACAGATACACATGTTTCTGGAAGTGACGACAGTAATGGGTTGTCAAGTGCTGAGTCATCTGACAGTTTACATGTAAGCCAGATGTTTTAATTGTCTGACTAATACATCAGTAAATATCATCTAGCCTGTTATAAGCCTTTGCTGCTCAGTGGGTGGAGCATGTACAAAATAAAGAGCTGCTCTGAAATTAATTTTCAGCTTAATTCTATTTTAAAGGAATTTGAACTGTATTTATAATTGAATATTTGTATTGTATTTGTATTTGTATTTGTATTTGTAATTTTTTTTCTCCACTTGACAACATGAAGACAATACTTTTAACAAATTGGTATTGTCTTTGAAAAGCCCCTTTGGGGAAAGTCAATAATGGATGTATGTATGTATTTTACCTCATTCCATGTTTATTACTATTATCCTTAAATGAAGGAAAATGCAAATCATACTACATGTAGTGAAAATCAGTTTGACCTGAAATTCATTGCAATACTCAACCTTCCCATTATGCATAGGTCACATTGATAGTGTTGGCCACTGTACATGTATTTTCAATGGCATAGTATAAAATAGTTATGCAACGCTTTCTTGAAGTAATATTACCATGGAATATTCCACTTGTAACTTGTATACTTCTCTAAAGCATTGCATGACTAGAATGTATTTTGAGCTTTTCCTCTGATGAAGAAGGGGTATTTAATTGCATTATGTTAATTTCATAGTAAAAGAAACAGAATGCTGTTGAATGGGTATTTTTTCTTTTAATATTGGTTGAAAGTTACACATTTACCCTTTTTTCTTTTTAGGGAGAGACTGATGATGAGGCTGAATTGCAATTTAAAAACCTACTGTCATCATCCGAGGATGATGATATTACCACTGATAAGAGCAACACTACGCAGAGTAATAATTTATCAGTATTGAGCAACACATCTATCAGTCTTATAATTATTTTTGTCATGACGTGGAAAGTAATGCACAACTTGTCAGATGCTGTAGTGAATGTTCTGTTCTGTTTTCTGAAAAGACTACTGGATCTAATGGCTAGAATAATTCATTGCAAAGCACTAAAACAAATGTCAAACCTACTTCTCCAATCCCTCTATATGATTAGAAAGCATTTGGGAATCAATCGAGATGATATTGAGAAATTCATTGTTTGTCCAAAATGTTCTTCATGTTACAAACCTGAGGACTGTGTACAAACTGTCAAATGGACGAAAGAAGGGTGAACGTTGCAGCTTTGTGGAATTTCCCCATCATCCACTTAGAAGCCAAAGAAGGTCATGTGGAGCAGCACTTTTTAAAGCTGTACGCTCCAAACATGGAGAACTGATTTCAAAAGCAAAAAGAGTGTTTTGCTACCGTTCTGTCAAGAAAACCCTGCAAGAATTCCTAAAGCGTCCTGGATTTTCCGAGAAATATGAGCAATACAAAAAGTGTCCTCGAGATCCTAACTTCCTTGGAGACATTTATGATGGAAGAGTCTGGAAGAATTTCAAGAGTGCAGAAGGAAAGCCCTTCTTTGATGCCCCCAATACATTTGGATGCATGTTGAATCTTGATTGGTTTCAACCATACAAGGATTCTGTTTATAGTGTTGGGGTGATCTATTTAAGTTTCCTGAACTTGCCACCACAGGAAAGAAATAAAGAGGAAAATGTAAATCTTAAATTGAAAAGAGTTTATTTTCTCTGATTTTTCAGTATTGTTTTGTTTTGTATTTTGTTTGAGTAAAATTAGGATCTTTAACTCCCCTATAATTGCAACGGTCACCATATAGCCTAAGCTTATTTAGAACATGAAAATGTAAATCTTTCGTGATTTTTAACTCTCATTCTTTATTGGTGGTCTTTGTGAGAAACCGTGTACTGCTGGAAAATCTTGTCGCAAGTTTGGAGAAACATTCATCTGTATCTGTCCTCCAGGAAAAACAGGAGCAAACTGTCAGGAAACAGGTTGGAACGACATTTAAAGTTTTAACAGAAGAAAAGTCACTCTAGTTGCATTTGATTCATTTTTACTATACTCCCAGCCTTATATTAAGTGCTCATACAGTTGAAATATACTATCCTTTTACTGAAATATTTGTTTTACACGCTGCTGTTCACATCTATTTAGTGATACCTTGCATTAAGATCTTTGTCTTAGAAACTTGTGTTTACCTGAGGTAAGCCACATAGACAGATAGCATGATCATTCAAACTTGATGCTGATCTCTAATGAATCATCCTTTAACACTCTAAAGCAAAGAAATATATTTAGCCATGTACACATGCATTGAAAGTTGATCTTTTCCCCTAATGAATAAGCCCCTGACCTTTCAAGGGAAAAACCTGCATCTAGCCATGCACACATATATTTAAATTTTGTATATTTGGTTTCTATGCGACAACATGCACAATGGAAAACCAAATAACCTTTTTGTTTTCACTTACCTAAGTGGCGGTATTTCGGCAAATGTTCTTTCGATCTGTCTGCTGCGCAAAAGTACATCTAGCTTTGCGATAAACTGAAGGTGTTCGATCTTTTATCCTACTTTGACGTGTTATTTTTACCAGGTAAGTTGTAAAGTACGTGCAGTTTCGCTTTTTGTAACGTTCATACTTCTCTTGCTCCTAACAGGGGAACCCCAGAAAAACCTTGCTATGGTACTTAAACTCAAGAGAGAGTTCAAACAAGTATACGAGAACTTGGAAAATCCACAGACAAAAATGCTTGTCCGAGGTATTGAAGAAAATGTGAGTGCTCTGTTAATAATAATTATAATTAACTTTAGGTTAGTATTGTAATATATAACGGAAAGCAAGAATTATTTTGTAAGTGAGCCCATTGCTTATCGTAATTTAAAAGAAATTTGGTAAGGGTGCACGTAAGCACCAGGCGACTGCAAGGCCCTATCCAATTTCTACACTGGCACCTTTTCATTCAAAAGATAGCGAAGTGTATTATTTTTCATTAAGAAATTATCGTTTATTTTATAAGGATAAGAATTTATTTCGTATGAAGCGCTGCGCTCCTAATGTCGTTGTAATACATCAGATTGGGGCATAAATGTCTCCTTGTCAGTACCAAAGAAAATAGAAAACAATGTGGATAATAGGTGTGCTAATGAAAAGGTGGGAAGGGTGTAAGAAATCTCGAGGTCCATTGATCGTCAATAACCACCCTCCTCCTCCTCCCCCACTTTTACATTATGCAGTGTTCTTCCTTTTCCTGGCATAAAGCTTATCGCAGTTGAAACATATATTGTAGTTATTGAATCAAATTTATAATTTAAAGCAAAAGCAGGAAACGAAATTTCAATTTATTATAAAATTGGGAAAGTGCACGAGTTATTTAATTTGTTTTATGCTGTCTTTTTTTGTGTCAGACGATGGAAGAATTAAAAGGCACTAGTCTCGCGAGCGTAAAGGTCCTCGAACTGAGGTAAAATATTTTTTTAGTCATTAGTTATTTTGTGTCTGAGCATTCAGCTCAGGCTACAAGGGGCCAATATAACATGCCTTCTTTAATTGTAGGCAATTAGTTGTTTTGGCTGAGTATGGAATCTTAAAGCACTGAGCTGTTTTATTTTACTAAAAACTAGGAAGAGTGCTTAAATACTAATGAACACGTTCTAAGATAAAAATATCGAAATTTGGCCGATGAAAGAAGGCGATTAAACTGAAGCGCCTAAAGCCCCTCGGCTGCGGTGTTTTCACATTACTATTCAACTGATTGTCTTTTCAACTTAAAACGTTTCATTTCTTGTTTATCTTG